GAGAACAGAGCCAAACCGAGGGCATGCATCTAATATTATAAATTACGTAGCTGCGGTGCACACGTATAGTTATTTGCCGGGCTGTGTGTGACACAGCAGCAGCAGCAGCAGCAGCAGCAGCCCTTTTGTGTATCGATTCTCAAAGCCAGGCTACAGTTCCTGCGCACTCTATGTATTTACGCCATCCTACGTTGCACTGCATAGTTGGAAAAGTAACGGAAACGAGCCGAACTCGCGCCCTAATGCGCCTTATATATTATACTCGCTTCTCTCTCGCTGTATAATACGCCTCGCTAGTCATAACCCCCGCGGGCTATACATAGAGAGAGAGATACGTCGTGCCTATGCGCAAAGTCGCGAGCGAGCTGCACTTTGATGCGTCAAACAGTCGTTGTTGTATACACCTATACACACAAGCAAGTCACATGAGCGCACACTTACATGCAGACACAATGGATAGAGCAGCCGCTGCTACTACGACGACGACGACGACGAGTATAGGCGACGGAAACGAAAGCCCAGACAAACCCGTAAATTTACACCGCTCTCAATGAACAGACGATGCAAATTTTAACCCAGTTCGTAGCTCGTTTTTGACTTTTGCTGTTGTACTCGCAGCACACATACACATAAAGAGAGAGAAGACTTGTATTATTATACACTCGTGCACAGCCAATACTATACCCGATGACAAATAAATGTGCATCCACGCACAAAGGCGGCCGCAACTTTGTACTTTGTGGATGATCGCGCGAGCGCCCGACTAAAATTAGAAAAGAAGACCTATTGGTTTTGCCAAATAACTTCGCCTACATTGCACATATAATAATAATACGACTGAATTTCTCTTCGAGTTCGCAAACAGTAATAGGTATGTAGCTGTTGCGCGTCGACAGATCACGAGCTCGAGATAAATCTTTGAATCGTTTCGAGTTTCATGTAGCGTGCGACGAAGAAGCGATCTTAGCATTCGATTCGTCGCGAGCACGCGAAAAACATCCACTAGGAAAAATATATTTTCACAAAAGACAAACAAAGCCTCGTTAAAGGCAACAAGATTAAAACACACGAGCGGAGAGGAAAAATAATGCCGTCATCGCGGAGACAGATACTTCGTTTACAAAAAAACAACAAAAAACGAGAAAATAAAAGAAGAGATAAAATCTCAAAGGATGTTCGATAAAAACTTGGATAAACAATTTATCTCGAAAAAAGCTCGGTTAACTATTAAAACGTTTATTATATAAGCAACAATGGCGCTCGAGAGCGAGCGTCTTCTTGTTGTTTTTTGTGAAAAATGTCTTTACTTTTTACGGCGCAACGAGCCGAGAAAACGACCCGAGCCACTAAACTCCGTGCAGCAGCTGCTGCTCGTCGCGCACACGGCCGCAGGAGCTAGCGTATAATACATATAACGTATACACTGCACACAAAGCTTGGCTGAACGGCGCGCAGCATCTAGAGCTAGAGCAGTAGTAGTAGTAGCTCACGCGATGTGCTCCGAGGAATCCTTTACATGCTTTATTAAGTAGATCGGGTCGAGCTTAAGTCGGCCCATAGGCATGAGAGAGAGCGCGCGGGAGCCGAGCCACTGCCACTCGCAAGCGTTAAGCGCACACGATTGCGTACACAAAGCAAGCGCAACTCAGTCGGTCGTAATTAGAGAGCGACTTAATTGTTGTTTTAATTTTTTTTGTTTTCGCTTCTTGCAGTAACAACAACATATCTTGGACGAGTTTTGTAATAAGTAAAACCGGCTCGATTTCTCCTAAGCCCTGGCATTATAGCGTTTTCGGAATGGTCTAAATTTAGCTGATACCGAGTTCGAGCCGCCACCGCCACTTGGTCGCCGTCGTCGAGTCGTGACGATCGAGAGCCATCGTACGGCCGCGCTCACGTGTGCGCGCGGGGGGGGGGGGGGGGGGNNNNGGGGGGGGGGGGGGGGGGGGGGCTATTCTGCACTCGCACATCGTTTATATAGACAGTCATGCAACTGTAATTGTGAAATAGCTACGAACGCGTCGTCGAAATATACTAAAAATATCGAAAAGCTCGCTCGAGAATGCCTAGCATAGGTATCGATTCGAGAATGCACGCGCTTACGTATATACGCCCGCGCGCATAAGCACGTCGAACGACGTATATAATATGGCGCGTTTTCGGCTCGACTTATACATCTCACGCCGACGCCGAGTTACGTCACGAAAACATAGCTGCGTGTAAAACGTCATCGTGGCGAGGCATGGGCCGCTATTATTATTACTTCTGAAATTCTTTTTTCGTCGAGTGAATCGCGATCGCGTCGATTCGTCGGCGGCGAGAGCACATTGCACGTCCAAATCGCGGCGGATATATAATCGCTCGATTACCGGTCGATGGCAGCGCGAGAGCTCTATATTTTATAACGTACACGATTGCGGTATAGGCTATATGCAGGGAGAAGCGAAGCCGAGACTTGATTGCAACCTCGTGACCTCGAGCGAGGCTATGAAAATCAGTCGAATCGACCGATACACGTACGCACACACACAGACTCGCACGCCGAACTACCTATATAGACGACGCGACGAACTCGCGCGTTTACCTTCGTGTTCTCGAGGTCTGCCATGTACGTTGTGTATTAAAAGCTCGACGCTGCACAGCCTGCACATTGCCAGCACAAACGGGGCAAATATTGAAAATCCTTCACCTTGAAACTCGTTCTCTCATTCGCTTCTCTCTCTCTCCTTGTTCCATGGAATACTATGAGCAGACAAACATGACTCTCGATTAAACGGTTATATTGTTGTTGCACGGCACGTACACATATTATATCAGAGGGAAAGCTCGAGTCTCGCGATCAAACAAAAAAATTATCAAGCTCTCGAGTGTTTAGTGCCATGGCAGCGCACGCGGCTGTAGAAAGCGTCGATCCTTGTAGCGGTACATTATCCGAAAGAGGGGCGCGCAATCAAGACAACGACATTATTTTGAAGAGGATAGCATTTAAGCCCGAAGCTCGTTCTGTAATGGCGTTACGCTGCTTTATGCTAATCAGCGAGAGACACAGAGGAGCAAGTGCGGCGGCGGTCGCGTCGCGTCTCTCCTCGTCGGCCGTAATACTCGAGAGCTCGAGACTCGATTCGTATATTCAATCCCAAGGGTAATCGTATAGCTTCGCGAGAGGCATTAAAAAAAGAAGAAGTAAAAAAAGAAAAAGATAATTGCCCGACCTAAGACTGCTACTGCGCGATGACGATGTGCTGGATTATAATGAAACTCGTATACCAGAGCTCGTGTACTTTTTTATTTTTAAATTAAAAATTCGAGAGCTTTCGTCGCTGGAGCTTTGACGATCGCGAGCCGAAGATTTCATCGAGTGTAACGAACGCGCGCGAGCTCGTGCCTACACCTGCTGTCACGAGCGTACCTACTTCCGCGTTCTCTCTCTCACTCCGGCAAAGTATAGCTGCAAAGTTCTTATAACTAACGACTTGAAGAAGCTTTCTTAATTAATTTCGTCAAACTTTCGACTCTTCTTGAGTTTAGAATATTATTATAAGAGCGTGTAGAGAGGGAGAGAAAGAGAGAGATTGGCGGCAGTTAATTCGGAAGAGTTTCGCAGAATTATTCAGAGTTGGAAAATATTTTTAAAAGCTTTCACCACGCTGATCTTGTTCTAAGTTTCAAAAACACTTATCGTCGCGGGGATGTACCGCTCGAATTTAATGCGCGACGTTCGAATTCGATGAGATATTGACTTTTTGCACCTTTAGCCGATGAAAAAATAAAACCAACCGTACGAAGTAACATTCGTCTATTCATTCGCGATCCAAAGAGAGCTCGACCTTTAATTTTTATTGCGGTACCACTCGCGCGTACAATCGATTACCACATATAAACGTGCGTTCGCGTTCGCTCGTCGCTCTAATTCGCCAATTGTCTAGCGTATAAATTTTTCCGCCATGTATTCACGATGTGAAACAGCTACATAATTTTCAATAGGGAATAATCCGTAAATCGCGAAACAATTTCACGGGCTCGATAATGTACGTGCAGAGAGGGGGAAATAACAATACGCACACAGCGAGACACGACTGACAACTATACACCTGAACCATATTACACATAATACGATCCGCACATATCGCCCGAATAAAGTATCATTGGCGCGTATCTATCGAGGACAAGAGCTGCTCATCCTCTCTAAAACGATGCGGCGGAGCAGCTGCGAGCTGCCGCGTATGATCGTTTATTGTTCTCACGTAACAAACGAAAATGACAATACGCATAATAATATAATCCGCCTTTCCGATCGTGTACAAGTCGCCCGCGCGCAATACGATTTGCGCAAAAATTACGACGATGTAGCTTTTAAGCTCGACAAACGCACATATACTAGTGCTAAACGCGAGCATTTGCACGGATCCCCGCCACGGGGACACGCGTGAATATTTAATACATACGTTAGTATACTCGACGTGCAAGCTGCTGCTGCTGCTGCTGCTTCTGCTGCTGGGTATAGATATATTGAGCACAACCTGCATGCAACGACCCTCGATATGCAATGAATACTGCACGCTGTATATTATATCAGGCAATATTTTATAGCCCAAGCAAAAGCTCCTGACCGATCCATCGTAATCAATATTTATAGATTTTTTTACATTATTATACATAATATGCACCTCCGACGAGTGAAGCTTCCTGCGAAAGTTCACGAGCCTGCCTAATCCATCATTAGCCGTTGTTATTATTAGTATTATTATTACATTATTTATATACCTACCCGCTGTAACGGCAAGAGCAAAACATTTTTACTCGCCACATCACTCACAAACTAAGCACCATACATTACTTAGCCAATATACTCATTATATAATGTAAAATGTGCATAAATTACCGTAAAGCTCGTGCATTATGATAATTGCCATGTTTTTAATGCAAGAAAAGATCGAGAGCCCTCGTGGGGGGCGGCGACGTATTAAAATCTCGCTCATGTCGAAATATTATTATTGCAGCCATGGCGAAGACCTCATCGTCACGCCTTTCGCGCAGATACTTGCGTCACTGCGCTCCGTTAGAAACAACTTCTTGTCCCTCACTAATGTACCGACGAACAAGTAAGTGTCAAAATTCCTTTACTAATTTTTATGATTAATAGTTTTTTAAATATTCCATGTGTCAAGCTCGCACGATATCCTGCCGAGAGTCCGAAAAGTTTTGTAACCCGTGTCGAAAGTTCGCTAATTTCAACCCTGTTTTTTTTTAACATCAATGCCGTCGTCCCTTTTCCTGATATTTGTGTCGATACCTATTAAAATGTCGATTTTATAATTGCATCAAGCAATCGACGATTCGTTACGCAGCGTTAATTTTCCTCCTGCATATTGGATTAGCGATCGAGTGAAAATTTTCGACAGAAAGAGAATTTAAAAGAGAGAGAGAAGGAGATTGATGATGCGGCTTTGATAAAAGTTTTTTTTCTCTCCTTCCTTATTTTTTCAACTCACTCGCAAAGCGTATTTTCCGATACTTCGCGATGCACAAAGTCTTGGAAGAGCCGCGCAACTATTTCCAGATAAAACTTTGAACGATTCGCTTGTTTTCAGTCATTTTTCTTCTCTCTCTCTCTTTCACGCGTAGTTTGATTTGAAACAAAGTATATAAGTTTCGCCGCTCGTTTTCTGCCTCTCTCGCACACGCTCTGGCGGCGTTCGAGTCCGTTGAGCTGCTGCGAAGTTGTGAAAATTCTTTGATATGGTAAACTTGGACAGGGGGAAACGACTATAGATTTAAACGTCAATCACGCATAAGCACGAAGTTATACTTACGCTGTGCCGGTGTATGTTCTATTATATGATATTTGATGTACGCGCCCGCTTCAGCTCGCGTCGAGTATCGTCCTGATTCGACTCTCGGCAATTCGTTTATACATACAATATATATCGTCTCTTTCGCACTCAGCCTCCCTCTCTCGTCTATACATACCCGTGGGTGTAATTAGTTTTCATATCAAATAATTGCTCGATGAAACAGGCCGCACACGTATATACGTACTTGCGTATGTATACGCACAGCGCAGCAATGACTCATTATGGCGTACGTAATATACGTACTACAGGGGCGCGTGTGCTCACGTGCGCACCGCACAGCTAAAATCATGATGCCCATTATAATACATTATCATCTTGGCTCATTCCAGCTCTCTCTCTATCTCTTTCTCTTTCTCTCTCTCTTTATTCTACGCTACGTTCGCGTGTCTACCTCTCGATGAAAATACATGAATTATTCACGGCGCGTTCGCGCGGGCATTTGTACAGCTAAATCAAAATGCAAATGTACGTGTAACGATCGCAAAAGAGCTACGAGTGTTGCCTGTGCCGCGGCCCTTTGATGTGAAAACTACGACGACGACGACGACGAGATAGTTAATGCTGACGAGGACGATTATATATTTTATTTATTTATTTATAAAAGGAAAAAAGGATTCGATGCGAGCTTGAAACTACTGCACGAAGAAGCAGCAATACGGTGCAATACTGAGCCAGTATACAAACAATTATCTAATGTTCTTCTATTTTATTATTTGTCAAAGATCGCGCCGGAGCAGCGGCGCCCAAGGCAGCAGTACGCCACAGCCACGGATCCTTGCCCCCGGAGGTAATAACATGAACTGCGCGAGATACACTCAACTCGCAGTAGTTCGTCTCTTTTTCTCTTTTTCTCACTCTGTAACGGCCGATATAACGCGCGTTACGCTCTAGATGCGCGCGAGGCATAACGACTATATGAATTAGCCTAAGTAGAAATGCTCGCGAGCAGTGAAAATTTATACCGCCTGTAGGCTGCGCGAAACGTCATAAAGCATATCGCTTTCGAGGGAAGATGTATTGGAAATGATGATCCATTCGTTTTAGCGGCGACTACTTTATCGCGCAATACCGGCTGTAATTATGCCTTTTTGTATTACAAAGTGTCCGACGTTATAAAGTATTCAATATTTCAAATTGCGCGCGTGCACTCGCGAGCGCTTGTTACATAATATAATACTAAAAACTGGGGATGTGTACTCGATGCCGAGATACAGATTAGCCTCGGATGAAAAATACTATCTCGCGTCAAGGGATATGGTCGCTGGGCAATTTATCTTTCTCCGCGTGCTCGCGCGCTTCATTGTTCGCAGCCTTATATATATCCGAGGGCTTGTGGATTTATAGTTTTTCATTGAAAAATTATTCATCCAGTCGGTTTCGGGAATTTTGAGCGATTGCAACGAAACTGTGTATGCTGTACATGGTGGACGGGCGCGAAATACTGAATCGCGAGGACTCGATAAAGCGAGTCGAGTACCAACGGGCGACATCGCGCAAGGGTCGTTACGCGTGGAGATCTGGATCGTCGCTGTACATGGTATACCCGAGCTTTGCGAATACGCGCGCGCCTCTGGCGCAGGATCAAAAATGCGTCGATATTGTTGTAAAAATAAGAAAGAGAAAAAAGGGCGACAAATAATCAATGCCAGCTGCAATATAGAGTGTAATTTAATTACTTTAGCCATACATGTAATTGTTACTATGTGTGTGTCGTGTTTGCAGAGGAGCCCTACATGAAGCTCGCAGTCGACACAATGGAGGAACTTGATTGGTGTCTCGATCAATTGGAAACTATTCAAACTCATCGATCCGTGTCAGACATGGCTTCGTTGAAGGTAAATACGGCCAATTTTTCAACTTGCTTTTTTCATTTTTTTCATGTACAATTGTACGTTGATATACGCACTACCCCTTGACCCTATATACTTGAGAACGCGCACATCGCGAGACGCTTGTGTCATTCAAAACGTCGACGACAAAATTTTGTTTATCCTGAGCTTGCAAACTACTCGAGTAATCGAGGTTGTTCAAGCGGAGGGTTGCTTACGCATTTACCAAAATTCCATTCAATTAATGCCGTACAAGCCGAGGCGATGATATTCCAACTTTGCTCTCTGCGCCCAGGGCAGAGAGAGAGAAGTGTACAAGAAATGTCGAGGCGGGATTATTATCTCGTGAATACATGGAGACACTGACTGCGACGACGACGAAGACGACGACAGGCGACGTTATAATAAATCGATTAAGCTGGGTGGATAATTAGGTATCGTGCGAGCGGTCGGCACGCTCGGCACACGCCGCCTACCTAATCAGGCTGTATCGAGGGATAATCAATTTTGATCGATTATTATTTTATTCTTCATAATACAGGCTGAGAAACGGAGGTAGCTGCTTGGGGGATTGGTGCTGCTGCGTGTCGGGGCAGGAAATTTAGATGAATACGTAGCAGGAAAGCTCGGCGCGCGTCGCAGGACTCGGTCGAGAGTTTTGTCGGGTTATTGCGTCGTCGACGTCGCAGTATACGGCCCCCGGTACAATTTACGAAACGAGCTTTATACGGCGCGTTATATAGCAGAAGCCAACTTGGCTCTCTCTCTCTCTCTCTCTCTCTCGCACACACTTTCGCAACATCCTTCCCGAGCGAGGCAGACGTAATTTTAGCTCACGCTCATCTCTCGTCGTCGTCGTCGTTCCGTACGGTGCGTTCAGTAGCAGTAGCAGCGGCAGCAGCTAGCGAGCGATTAAGCGGGTCCGGTATCTTTTAAGGGCCGCTCTCGCTCAAGCTTTTAAGCGCGCTAACTTTCACGGCTTCTCGCTATACCGCCTCGGCTGTATACTACGCTCTACCTCTATCTTTCTACGTGAAATTGAATGCGTTCGCTTTTATTAATCTATCCGGTATAATATACGCTACTGTACACTGCGCCCCCCGCGAGCTTTCGCCACGGCCGCAGCAGCAGCGGCAGCGGTGATGGCAGCTACTCGAGAGATCGATATATCTTGTCATTTATGTACCGACCGACGACGCAGCGGTGTATATATCTTTTATACTCTTTGGCGCGCTTCACGACCTCTTGACTTGCTCTCGCGTATGGCGCGCGATATCGCATAAAGGAGAACGATATAAAAGATGATACGGTAAATTATAAGGCATACGGCAGCTTTTTCTCTCTTTTTCAGGCGAACGATGGCGCGTGGCGCTGGCTTCGATTGACGCGTTAGTTCGCCGCTTACATTCCTTAATAAAGGCATTTTTCGATCGTAAAAGTGTGTATAAGAATAAGCCCGCGTTCCCGCGAGGAAGACGTGTTGCGTAATTCTTTTCTGGGCTTGCCAAGACTCGAACAAATCGAAGAAAGCTCGTCGTGCCGCGCGCTCGACTTGCGCTCTCTTATATGAAGCGAATATCCGCGAGGAATTTCAGCGAGTTATAAAAGTCACGGCAGCCGTGTGTCGGTTTGCGCTCGATCGATCATTCGCTTTCGCGGACATTTTATCTGCGAGCACTCGGCGGGACTGCGAGATTTTCTTTCCCCAAGACAGGACCATCCGTCTTTTCCCATGAGCTTGGAATGAATTAGGCCGTTTCTTCCGCGAAGACCGCGCGAGACAAGTGCAAAATTCAGCCGTGCTCGAGAGCGCGTACTTTGTATCCGCGTTACGGAATTCACAGCGCGCTCAGCTTCGTTCCGAGTCACTGCCAGAGGCATTCGTTTGCCGACGCGCGCGCCGCGACACGATTTACGCATTTTCGTCGGACGTCGCGCGACAGTCAGGCAGGCTGGCAGAGAGATGTCCAACTGCACGAGTCGCATAAATCCGAGCATTACTTCAACGTGGATATGCATTACAAAAAAAAAAAAAAAAAAATATTGAAAAAAAAACATCCACTACCCGATGCGAATGTACGAAGTATACGTACGCTGTGAAATCGGATTTTGTTTATTTTTCGTCGGCGCCTCCGTGTACTGCAGCTGTTTAATCTCCTACGTACTCGAGCTTGTCAAACGGGCTTCGCTCTCTCTCGTATAGCTTTCATCGCGCGAAACGAGCTCGCTAACTCTCGCACATGATGTACTGCTCGTGTATACGTATAGCCCAGCCCTCGTTACATCAGGCAGAGATCTGGCCAATTTTCCTCTTCGCGTACAATGCGCCTTTCCAGCTGGATATTTTTTTCGCTATTAAAAATGACGAGCCGATGAAGGTTATACGTTACGACACATCGGGCGGACCACAACAAACAAATGAAAAATCTCGCATCCGATGTGTATCAACATTTATCGATGTGATCGCGATTTTATAATTATATAATACAAAATGTTTAAATTACCCGGTACCACTGCGGCGCGAGACGGCTGCGAAGACGCCTACAGCGACGAGGCCAAGGATGATGATGATGATGATGTTATGATCGCCGAATTACTGCGCACGATCGTGTCGCTCCTAACGCTATTATCGGAGATTTTGATAGCTTATTACGAGCGCCGTCGCGTCAGTGTCCAAACACAGCGAGACACAACAAAAGTAAGCTCGGCTCCGCAGCGCGCCGATTTTTCCACAAACACACGTATACCGTAATTAAACACAGAGAGGTTACCATATATACACAAACGCACACACACCTGGACTGGACGACCCGCGACGTTGACGACGATCGAGGGATTATTTTGACAGTTCTGTCTGATCCATACATAATACATGTGCGAGGACAAAAAAGTGTGACGCGAGTTTTTTTGCGACAAATAAAAAACTCCAAAGTAACGTAACGCGAACTATCATGGGTAGTACGGAAAATATCCTGGTCAGTATAGATTAAAAAGTGTGGACAGTCTCCCAGTGTAGCAGAAAGCGTAGTCTGCTATTATATTTATAACAACAATGTGTGTTTCATCGATGCTGATCTCTCTCGTTTTTTGCTTTTCTTTTGTCAACAGTTCAAGAGAATGCTGAACAAAGAACTGTCGCATTTCTCCGAGTCCTCCAAGTCCGGAAATCAGATTTCCGAGTACATCTGCAGCACCTTCCTCGGTAAGTACATTATAATTCTGTAATACTCGGGTCAATAACATAAACTTTTCGTTCGTAATATGATTTTCGTAATAATCTCATCGATTCACGGATGTAAGCAGCTCGCCGGTAATTTACAACAGGTATAATCGGGTGACAAACGAGTTTACACGTTCTATTATTATTAACTCGGATAGGAATTTATATAGCGATGAAAGGAGCTCGTTATTTTCAATTCTCGAGCTTTTTATCGTCCTCGTAACGCGAACGAATGAGAAAAGTTAACGATGATGAAGATCTCTCTCTCTCTCTCTCTGCACTATTTACCGAACGACGCGAGAGAAAAAAATCGACGGATCTTTGAACGAGCGTTAATCCTTATCTCGTGCCTCGAACAAAAATATATATAACGCATTATATAGGCATGCAGCATAGAGCATTGAAAACAAAAGGTCTATAATATATCAGGGAGGCTGGGAAGCTGCGGGAGCTCCTAATAATGGAAAGGTTGAGCTATAATGCGCTTGCGAAGCTGCATGCAGCCTGGCGGACCGTAAACACACTCGTGCAGAGCTGCACAGGCCGAAGCCAACTTGACCAGTCGATCATATAATATATCACGCTGGGCAAGCGCACATATACACACGAACGCGCGCTTTAATACGCTTGACCAGGCCGCTAACAATGACATTTAAATGAGGCGGAAAATCAAGTCTCGACGCACACATACATACGCACACACGTACTCAAGTGAATCATAAGTATATAGTTGAAAGATACTTATGTTTACATTGACCATGACAATCTTCCTATAAACTCGAGGTTGTTCCCTCGACAGAACGCGAGCTTCTCTTCTCGCGTCTCTTTCTATTCTTATTTTTTCATTCTTCTTATCCCGTATGCGTTTTGTTTTTTTCTTTTTCTATTTTTTCTATTTTATTTTCGTAATAAACAACGAGCCAAAAGCCAAAAGCTCCTTTATTAAAAAACTTGTCAAACGCCAGGCCAACAGCGGAGCTTTTTTGCGAAGCTGCAGCAGCAACAGCAGCAGAGTATCAGTTCAATGCAACGAGATTCGTTTGTATTTTGCACCCCGCGCGTGGAAGCCGACTGCGTTTTTCTTTTTTTCCCTTTTTTTTTGTTGATTCGCGTACGAGCTATATGGATATACGCTCGGCCGTGTCAATCGGCATATCGACATATCGGGACATGAAGAGAAAGAGAGAGAGAGAGATAGTTATGGTACGTTATTCCGTTCCAAGATTTTGATGGACTCGTTAAATCGATTACACGCGTGTACACGGTTATTTCTTTCTGGCCACCCACTCTACTCTACTCTCTGTCCGTCGATTAATATGCACATACATTCGCGCGAGTATACACGAGAGTTGCAGCTCTATACGGGAGCATCGGTGTGTGTGTGTGTGTTATACTCTGTATGTACGTTAAAAGCTCGTCCACCTAGTTTGTGCCCACGCGAGGGAGTGAGAGAGCTTTGTCCTCGACCACTCCCTCCTGGGGATCCGTATCATTTTTAACTTTGACAAGTTATTTGAGCCGCGGCGCACCGACCAGCATCTGCACTCCACAAGAACTCGCTCTCTCTCTCTATCTTTATCTTCTATATTCCGTGTACGTGTTTGCGCGCGCTTAAAAATTGCGCCTTGTCGTCCGGACGCGATCCACGGACTACCGCTAATAATACTAATAAGGAAGTTTTTAAAAGCTCTCTCGCCTTCGGCCCGTGTGCCTGCACGCGCGAGGCCATTCGGATCCTCGCACTGAAAACTTTATCTATTATGTGCAGGCTTAATTACAGTTGCTTCTAGTAGCAGCTAGATAGAGAGAAAGAGAGAGAGAGAGCGAGAGCTGCTTCAGCTACACGCCCTGCGCACGAGAGCTCTCTCTCTCTCTCCTACCATATAATGTTATATACACAAAGTTTCTCGCAGCTTTAATCGCGAACTTATGAAATCCAGAGAATTCAAATTACTTTTGATTCTTTGGAATGCGTATACGCATACACGCACGCCCCACGCATGCATGCTTGCCTGCATTATATTAAGATACGCGCGCGTTTGTGATATACACTTGCGATTTTCATTTGAATGAAAATTACTTCGGGTGCGTTGATTTTTTCTTCCTCCGCAGTCGCTCTTCTTCTTTTTCGACGACGCTGTGCAATTTAAATTACTCGGAAAAAAAACTCGATTAAATCCCACGAGTCCCCGAGAGACATTCGCTCGGTCCATTTCGTAAGTAAAAGGGAAATTCGTATAACCCGGGTGCGTATATATATAGCCTACTATACTGCGCGAGGCCTGGAAAGCCATCCGCCGCACCACGCGTTGCCACCGGGATCGATATAAAAGCATTAAATGGTGCGCGCGCCATATATATTTCTGCAAAAACAAAATTGATTTTCGTCGGATTGTGCATGAATAAAAAAAAAATCCAAGCGAAATTTCGTAATTCGAAATTGAAAGTTGCCACATTATATTTCGCCGCGTGCATGTAATTAAATGAAAATGCGCGCTGCGATTCGGCCAAGCATAAATAATACTAAAAAGAAGCTGCTACCGTATATGGCCGAGCTCGCCCCCGTCGCGCATATATTCTTCTTTGCGAATAATCCATAAAATTACTGTAACAAGCTCCGTATAAGAGAGAGGCAGGAACAGAGATGGAACCTGAATTTACAATGCTAATCTGACCTTTTGTTCGGCATATTAAACATTTTTACGTCCCGCGGACTCTGTGCGCAGGGGCTCATTTGCATGACGCGCGTCTTCGTGACGGTACGCGAGCGCGATCTTTTCTCAAATCTTCTTAAATATATAGACCAAACAGCGGAGCTTATGAAATGAAAGCCGCTTCCGACGGACGACGGACCGACGCGTAGGAAAAATTATATGGAAAATGAATCTCGCGAGGCTGCTCGCGATCGAACGATATAGTATACTACCTAGTACCTACCCGTTAGCGTAAACAAGTGGGTCAAATCGAGGCGCAATAATAAATACGCAGTACAGACTCTTGGCCAAGTTGGAAGCTCGAGCTTAAATACATGTGTACATTACTAATTATAATATACGAAAGTTACGCTCGTCTATGCATGCAACGCGTCAGCTAGCTAGCTATATAACCAGCCCGCTCGAAGGAATTATATGTATGCGCGTATTTTCACGAAAACAGCTCGCATAATTGTATCAGGCCAGAATTTCAATGGGTTGTTGGTGGGTAAAAAATACGCCGAGCTTGCATCACGCGAGCGCGAAAGCTCGCGTTAATTATGCACACTCGCATACGTATAAACCGTTTTGTAATATAACGAAAGTAAAGAATGCGTGTTTGATGAAAAATGTGCTTGACTCGATTATTCGCAGACAAACAGCAGGAGCTGGATCTACCGTCGCTGCGTTCTGACGATGCGCTACCCGGCAGCATGGACGCTCGGGCGGCCAAAAAGAAGGACCGCGAGAAGAGGGGACCGGCGGCCATGTCGCACATAAGCGGCGTCAAGCGGCCGCTCACGCACACCAACAGCTTCACCGGCGAGCGCGTGCCGCTCTACGGCGTCGAGACGCCCCACGAGGAGGAGCTCGGAAAGGTAAACTTTTCCAACTGCTCCAACTTTTTTCGTTTGATTTTTCTCGATCTAATTGTTTTTTCGTATCCCCATTGCTCTTCATTAGCTCCTCAGCGATATCGACAAATGGGGCATCGACATCTTTAGGATAGCTGAACTGAGCAATAACAGGCCGCTCACCTGCGTGGCCTACACGGCCTTCCAAAGCAGGGACCTGCTCAAGATCATGATGATACCGCCGAAGACCTTCGTCACCTTCCTCATGACCCTCGAGGATCACTACGTCAAAGATAATCCGTTCCACAATAGCATTCACGCGGCGGACGTCACTCAATCGACGCACACCTTACTCAACACTCCCGCGCTCGAGGTACGGCTATATACACTCGTACAACGTATATACAACTCTCTCGCGACTGTTTTTACAGGCGCTCGGGGAATTATTATTATTATATTTATAACGTCGAGAGCCGGGACTAAAACTTCTCGTTATATTCGTTACGTAGTCGGCGAGTTTTACTCGAAAGATCGAGACGGATGATTGATTATAACGAATGTATCATGTCGCTCGCAGTCTGTGTACTCGAGCTTTGGAGCTTTCTCTCTCTCTCTCTCTCTCTCTCAGCAAACTATCCGTCCAAATTGTAAAGTTCAATTAGTCAGACGCGGGTGGGTGCGCGCGCGACTCAGTTTGCCCGCCTTCGAAGCCGAGTGCAGACTTGTAATAACCGAGGGAGAGAGAGAGAGAAAGGACAAAGTGGTATAACTCGCGGGGGCTTTTCCAAAGTATATTACCGCATCTCTCAAATCCGTCTGTGACTGAAATTTATCGAAGCTGTATAATATTACGTTATACATCCACGGAATCGAATTGTAGGCGGGACAGAGCTCAAAGAAAAAGAAAAGTCGCGTTGGCGCGTTGGTCGGGAGAGCAAACACAAGTATCGGGAAAACAGTTTTGACGATACTCAGAGGAGCATTTGACGAAGCTCCTGTTATAAAGCTGTGCGCATAACGCGTGGCATTGAATTATTCAAAAGTGGCGGGATTAGGCATGAATAATTTAGCCAGAACTCGTGTATATCGCGCGCAACGCCAATTGACGGCAACAGCTATAATGCCGAAACTATGCGCAATCCATTCAATTTGTCGTCTGCCTTTCCCTCTCTCTTTGGAGAGCTCGCGATTCTTTAGCAGTTTGTCATTACTAATCGAGCTGCTCTAATTGGAAAACCTCGAGGTTTACTTTTGAAAAGTTCGAATGCCACTATTCGAAGTATCACCGAGAAATAAACGAGTGCTTGTATGATTGGCAATTGTACAGACAAAAGCTAATGATTACCAATACATAAAGTCAAAAGAATGTTCCGCGAATTTTCTAATTTGTATAGCTTTCAAACTCTGCTTTACTGTCCTCTTGTTATTTGCACATTAGAATGAAATTTCAAGTGGTTCAATAAAGCGATACCCCCGTTCGTTTTAATATGTGCTCTCGGCTTTAATAGCGAGTCCTAGCTCTCCACAAAGTATAATAACAAGTAATAAACTGTTGAGAAGGAACGTCCGTCGGTCAAGTTTTGCAAAGCTTCATCTCTCGGCCGTTTCCGGTGTAGACATTGTGAAATCAAATTGACATAAAGACAAGCGCGCAGACGAGGCAGATTTTGAAAATGGCAGTTCGAAACAGCTCGAAATTAGACTCTCTAATAGCTTGATTGATAATTGAAATTCATACCCGCGTGTGTTTGCGTTAAATTTGCAGTCTGTGTTCACGGCATTAGAGATAACGGCTGCCCTCTTTGCCGCAACTATTCACGATGTCGATCATCCCGGTCTCACCAATCAGTTTCTCATCAATTCGAGTGAGTATTCAGATATATCGCCCAAAGCATTAAGAAACATTTTGATTCAACAATTCATGCGCACGATGCCTTTTTGACAGGTTCCGAGCTGGCATTGATGTACAACGACGAGTCCGTACTGGAGAATCATCATCTGGCAGTCGCGTTCAAGCTGCTGCAAAACGAGGGCTGCGACATATTCGCTAATTGCTCGAAGAAGCAGCGCCAGACCCTGCGCAAGATGGTCATCGACATGGTGCTGTCGACCGACATGTCCAAGCACATGTCCCTGCTGGCCGACCTGAAGACTATGGTGGAGACGAAAAAGGTCGCCGGCTCCGGTGTGCTACTGCTCGACAATTACACCGACAGAATACAGGTACGCATACACGCCAAAGCGGCAACGCGCAATGACGCGCGCGACCTATAACGGTAACAAGCGCCGTCGTAGTCGTATTTGCCCATGCACACGCTAAATTTCGCTGAATTAAAAAAGTTTTTCCTGCTGCACAACTCCAAAGATTTTGTTCGGGGGTATAATGTATAGAGCTTACACCTCGAGCGGTACTAAGGAAGAAGAAAAAAGTTTAAACTTTGCGCATAACTTTCTAAAACCCTGTGTGTGCCTCGGAGAGGGAGTATTAAGCACAGCGCTCGGAAGAAAAAATGCTACAAAGAGAGGCGTAAAAATTGCCTTTTAGCGTTCCTTTTTGTTTCCTCCGAGCGCGGTCCCTCGGATTCGCGCGTGATTTGAGGCCACGTGAAAGCTCGGCGCGAATACATTACGTACAATTGCGAGAGCTCGTTATCATGTGTTACGCTGTGTTGTCGTGTGCCACGCGCAGGTCTTGGAAAATTTGGTACACTGCGCCGATCTGTCGAACCCGACGAAGCCTCTGCCGCTATATCGGCGCTGGGTCGACCTGCTCATGGAGGAGTTCTTCCAACAAGGCGACAAGGAGCGCGAGCTCAACATGGACATCAGCCCGATGTGCGACCGACACAACGCCACCATCGAGAAGTCCCAGGTGGGCTTCATCGACTACATCGTCCATCCGCTCTGGGAGACCTGGGCCGATCTCGTGCACCCGGACGCTCAGGCGATACTCGACACGCTGGAGGAGAACCGCGACTGGTATCAGTCCATGATACCGCCCTCGCCGCCGCCCGATCTATGTCCCGAGAAGCAAGAGAGGCAGCACTTCCAGGTGGGTTAACAATTTGCGTCGCGCGCCTCACTGACTCCTCTCAAAATAGAGACTCACGATTTTTTCTCTCTCTTTTTTCCTTTTGTTTTCGGGTGCTTTTATAATCGTCGGGTGTGCAGATGACGCTGGAAGAAGGCGAAGAGGGTGCAAGTCCGGAAAAAGTTCAGAGCTTTTCGCAGGAGCAGGGTGACGATGTCGAAGAGTCAAGCAGCGCCGACGCCGGAATGTGACGGAAGTTCACCGGCTTCTGCAGAAAAATTTATGAACGCGTCCAGCAGACGTTCTGGCGCGTACGCCAATGATCGATGCTGAGCATATATACATATATTTTAATCGATAAAAAAACAAAAAGAAAGCGAAGCCCGTCGTGCTCTCGCTCATATTCGCTCTTTACAAGTGAATCGGTTCACAAAGACACACATTCTCATACACTCTCTGTCAGTCTGTCTGACTGTCTGTCTCTACCTCTATTTCTCTCTATCTAGCTCCTCTCATATCTCTTACTCTGCGATTCTCTCTTTTATTTCTCTTTCTCTCCGTTATCCGATTCTTTCTACAAGTACACGATCGCTCATGAAATACGAATAACGCAAAAAGGAATGAAAAAAAAAAATTACAAAAAATCATATAAAACTTTTAAAGAAAGGGGGAGAGATGGACGGACGGACAGACGCTATGACTAGTCAGAGCCAGAGAAGAGAAGATCTGATGATGCAGAATAACTTGATAAATACAATACAAAACTTATGTACCGACGGATTCGTATAAAAAAATGATGACGATCGTAGAAATTATAAATATATAAATATATATACAATTACACATCCACAAAGACTGCAGCTGTTGTACGCCCACACATTCATTACATCTATAAATAATTATTAAAAAAAAATGTAATACTCTCGTGCTTACATTACAGTTTGACCGAGCTTAACAAAAACAAAAAAAATTTCATTGATGACGCTTAGAGAACAAAAAAAGCATACATGGCAAAATTATATTATAATATACACAAAATCCGATCAATCGTCCTTAAAAATACGTATTAGCATAGGAGAGAAGACGACCGGAGGATAAAGGGAGATCAAAAAAAAGAAAAAAGCGTACGATACGTATATTATTACGATATATATACACGTAAATCTAACATTAATATTATACATCGCATGCGAAGCCAAACTATACAAGAGTGGGAATCCTCTTGAATTTTATTTCTTATTACGTATAAATATAATAAGTAAAGAAATCGTTGCTCTCGGCTGGACCGAGACGCAACGCCCGACGGAACTTGTGCGCGTGTTACTATTATACATATAATTGCCGATTACAAAGTTGGTCGTTACGCAGAAAAAAACGTCGTTTAAGTATATATAATAATGATATTAATAAGTATAATTATTAAGAATATTAAGAATACAATTATATATAAAATACTGTATAAGGTTGAGATACGATGGTAGCAGGAGCGGATTAACATTAATATTGTATGTACTGTACCGGGGAAAAATTCATACGCGATAGGCTCGTCGATAGCTTAATGGTAATGATCAAATAAAAAGATGAATTTAATTAACATGATACGATCGCGATTCGGGGGAATGCTTCGGTACGCAGCTCAGAGATGCCAAACTAAAAGTGTTTTTCCTTTCACGGTTCAAGCGTCACGATGGGTCTTTTTTTGCAATCGGTGAAAGAGCGGAAAATCACTCATTACACGCTAACCCAAAAGGAAGTAGCCAAGGATTATACTAGTGATGGAATATAGAAAGAAAGAGATATATATTATACGTATATGATAAACTATATGTCGATAAAATGTGATACGCAACGATTTCGAATGTCTTGTTGAACAAAAAAATATATATAAATAAGAATTTATGAAAACGGAAGGTTGAACGTGGGGTTATGGGTGCGGGTATAAAATTTGCGTTTGCTTCGAAACGTCAAACGACGAGTTTGTTATCGACGTGTTTCAGCTCTTGCGAATCGCTTCGTACATATGGTGACAAAAGGGCAAACATACACACACACAATTTCTATTAAAACAAAAGACATATCACCAAACAAAGTGGGAACGTTTATATACATATTTCAGAAAATAGAAACTACCAAAAAAAGGGGGAAACTGAAAAACAATCACTTAGTGTCCATTTTCATATGCTAAAGAAAATTAAACGAGTATTCGATGTCTTATTTGTTCGATGAATAAATCACGAGGAAAGCCGCGAGCGTTCTTTGAAATGAAGTTAAGAACTCTGTAACGTTGAACATCTTGTCTTGTACTTGTATTATGCAAATTGTCTGTCAAAAAGTGCTCCAACGTGACTTTGTCGATAAAAAAAGCATAATTATGTGCACACATACGTGCTCGTGCATACTTGTGAAGTTTTCTCGAAATACAGGACCCGAATTCGCAAGTTTTAATAATCCAATCGTGAAAAAATGTAATGTTGAAGACGAACTCTGTGGGCTGAAGGAAACTCGATCAGTACATGTAGCGACGTAATATTGAAGTTGAAAAAAAAGGAAAAGAAAAAAACAAGTATCTCGAAAGTACATTACATTATTATAGTAGATCCATAAGTTTTAACAAAAAAAGCAACTCGTGGTCTGGATTGTTTTCACAATGGTGCTTAATGAATAAAAAAGAAATTATTATTACGCTAGTAAGAAGAAAACCACGCGCGATGAAACGCCCCGAGGCGCATATTTAATAATTACCGTTCGAAAAAAGTAATTAATGGATAAATTAAATAAAAAACTACCTGAAACTCGTACAACACCATAGACGAAAAATGGAAAAATATAAATCTGAAAAAGTAGCGTGTCGTAGTTTATACCTGTAATGAACATCATCTCGCATATAATACGTCGTCGGAGTTTTTTTTGGGATTTTTATTTTTAATCTTTGTGTGTGTTGTGCATTCAGTCTGTAACTCGTCGGTAGACAGAAAAAAGTAATTAATTTTAATATACAACTGCGTAAAAGCTGGCCTTTCAAGGTTTGTATTAAAATTAATTCGTACAAAACACGTAAAGTATCGTGTAATTGAAACGTAAAACGATTATTTGTATTTACAAGCAGACTTTCGCATGCTCAAAACGCGCATCATCTCTGATTTAACGGAACTCTGTATGGTGATATACACATTTTAGAGTAAAAAAAGCATAAAAATTCGAAATAATAATTCGAGCATTATCATTTTTTAAGGAAATGAAAATTCGATAAAAAAATATACGGCATCTATCATAATAATGCGTAGCTATGAGTCTTTTTCGCTCTCTTCATTCACTACCACTATATGCGCGTTTGAAGGTCGAGATAATGCTCTATTTAGTCCACTTACACATAAATCTTGAGAACACAAGGATGATACGTACATTATGTTTGATAAAGTAAAAATTAGGGGTACGCATATACATGTACACATGTATTATGCTTCGTGTTTCATTATACTCAAAGGCATATAATGAAGATAGCGAGAAAAATTACGAGCTGAGTTTGTTTGTTCTGGAAAAGTCGGGTGCAAAATGCAGCGTCGCGTCAATGATATTAAAAATTGCACACAGCTACTGAGCCATTTTTTCTACACTTTTGATTATGATCCAACATCTAAAATGAGTAATCTTTGCTTTTAAATATTTTCACACACTACTACGTCAGTGAGTTAACGAATAATTTCATTTTTCACTGTTTTTAACATATTTTAACGAATTCATCATTTATGAACTACAGAAACTTTGTCATAATTTTCGTCAATGTCGACTCGAAATATTGTTAATAATTTACGTTTAAGAGTATTAACAAGTACGATTTATAATTTTAAAAATAATTAGAAAATCATGTAATAGAAAGTAACCAACCAGAAGTTTTTTCCAAGTTCATTTATTATAAAATGATTTTCTAAGATTTACGACGGCTTAACTCCGACTTTTCCTGACAAATATTATGATTTTTCGATATTATTTTGTCGAGATTTTTTTATCCTGTCGTTATTGCCATTCGGAATATCTTTATTTGATTTGCATGCTAATGATATTATTAAACGAGAGTATTTTATTGCTAAAATTATTATTAAAAGAACATGAAAGAGAGCGAATGGCTAGATATAAGTTTAATTAACTTCAGGAGATTTAAAAATTTCATAAGTAAGAAAATTAACTCCGACGTCATCACATTCATTTATAAAAATGATGATATAAATTAAGAGTAAGAAAAATATAAAATAAGAGGAGAAAGATATATAAATTATACAAGTAATTATTGATATTGATATGTGTGTTACTGATATTGAACCTACCGACTATCTGGTGCTGGTAACCAAGATTTGGTTAACGATTTTAGTGATTAAGCCGTAGGATTAAGCTCATCAAGATATGTATATTTCTATATACGTACATACTCATGTACTCATATGTAGATATATACTTTTCGAGATGTTTCCTTTTACCCTGTTATTGTTTCTATATTTCGCCTATTGAACGTTTTTTTCTTATTTGTTATTTAATATTTATTGTTATAAACCGTGTGTGTTATATATTGTATTTTTTTTCTAAGAGAGAGTCGCTCTCGTTTGCGATGTGCTGCTCGACCAACAAAAAAAAGTCTTGACGAGGTAACAATATTTACTCTTCAAGATTTTTTCGTGCTCGAGTCCTATTTCAGTCGTTAACGACTCACAGGCCATAAATGAAAAACAAAAAAAGAATAAACGCCGAACTAATGTTTTTACTTCCCTTCACTTACTCCTCCTGCAGAAGCAAAAATAAAAAAAAAACGATCATGTACTCACGCGCGACAATGTTGAAAACATTGCCATACGATGCTATAATATATTTTCATCATGATATATGTGTGTATACAACGCGCACATGTATAAAACGTACAATACACTTATACATATTATACATACACACATGAATGCTCTGTAAATCGGCGCTTTCCACTAGAGGAAAAAAAGAACTATACAAGATAAAAAAAACAACAAGTAAACAAAATACTGTCTTTTTCTATCGATATGATTTATTGTATACTATTATAAACGCATCGAGTCTTAACTATATACTATTACTACTACACTACAAGAAACTGTGTTTTACAAAAAAAAGACATGAAAAATACTGAAAAATGTAAAAAAAAAATACAACAACTATTGAACGACAAATGAAACACTATCTGAAATGACGCATAATCCTTTAAGAAGAAAAAAGAACAAAACAGAATGCAGCGTGTTTAATTGCTGGACAGTTAAATGAACATGTATTAATATATCATGTAACCCTTGTACGAATATATGTGTAATAAAAAAAAACATATTTATTGTCTGAACACTTTGCCTCTCATTTATTTTCTTCTAGATCCATTAATTTTTATTTTACAAAAAAAAACAATCATTTTATTTTCTGTTGTTAAAGAAAAAAAAAGTTACAAACGCGTATTCGACGCGATGGAATTATACATGCTGGTAATTAACTGCACTTCTGGATATCACCGTTTTTTTTTAAACTCCATTAAATACTAATTATCGATAACTTGCTGCACAACCTTTTTGAATTAATAATTCATACTTCACTTACCGCGCACAATGCATTTACAAACGAACAATCGTGTAATACCACTTTAGAATACCGCTTTAACTTTGCGAGAGATAGTATATAATATTATCATTGACTAACTTATTCTGTAAATTCGGACTAATACACGCGAATCGATATAAAAAAATAATCTCTACATTTTACCCAGACTGCGCGTGACTCTGACACGGTGGCGAAGAAAAAATGCGCATCTCGTCGTCGTCTCGTCACTGTCTCGTCATTGGCTCCTCGACCTCGGCGTACGTGCCGTCGCCCTTGTTGGCGGCGATCGACTTGACCAGATCGGCGGTGGGCTCCTTGAGGTCGTAAGCCCAGCCGATCTTGGCGAAGGTCTGTATGAAGACGGTGCTCAGGTCGATGGTCGGATGGCCGATCTCCGAGGCTTTGTAGTCCCAGGGAAAGACGTGATGGTAATTATGCCAGCCCTCGCCGCCCGTGGCGCACGATATCAGCTTGTTCTCCACCGGCGCTATCGTCCTGCGTGCGTGCGCATTCGCGAGGAAATTAGGATTGAAAAAAAAGTGCGCGTGAAATCTATCGTAGCTATAAATACTCACTTGTCGTAGGGTCGTCCGCCGAACATGTGGGCTACGCTGTTGACGCACCAGGTAACGTTCAGCACGTAAGAGTAGCGCATGAAGACCTGCGAGGCTATCGCGTAGTACCAGTCCTCGTTCCAGCAGTACACGGGCACGAGAGTCGGCAGTACGAAGCAGAACAGTATCTTCATCGGAAGGAAAAACCTTGGGAATCGAATCGGAAAGTTACGTACGTATTTTATCGCGACGATTTTAGGATGATAAAAATTGATGAAAAACAAAACACCGCGCTCGACTTTACTTTTGTCCAAAAGCGCAGACGGGATCGTTCGTTATGTCGCTCATGTCGATCTGGCGTCCCTTGCGTATGACGTCCGGATGCTTCTTCATCATAAGCCAGCCGACGTGCGAGAAGAAGAAGCCGCGATTGCTGTTGTGCGGATCGGCGTCCGTCTCCGAGAATTTATGATGCACTCGGTGATCCCTCACCCAATCGTACAATGGATTCTGGAAACGTTCGTTGCGTACAGCGCGGCACGTCATTATCGGTATCGCGATTTTAGCACACTCGCAAGTTTACGCTGTTATCCTTACCATTCCGGCCATGCAGTAACAACAGAGCAAAATTATCCTAAGGGGCGTCTTGGCCTTGTACGAGCGATGAGTCCAGAGGCGATGCACCCCCGCTCCGACGCCGAACGACGTCGTCACGGCAACGACCACCGCTGTGGAATCGCAGTATGGACGAAAAAAGAAAGAAAGGAAATATTATACGCTTCTGTCGCGTGGCTAAATTTTGTTGAATTAATTATGGCAATGGAAAAGGAACCAACCCCAGAGGAATGTCAAGGGACGCTGAATGTACGGAAACGTCAAGAAGCAGTAGAGGGCAGCCACGTGAAACAGGCTGATAGCCACGATGTTCAGCCAAATTAGCGGTTGACCAAAGTAGAATCCGCCACTTTGCCGATCTTTCAAGGCGTTATCTTTTAACGAATCGATGTCGCTCGTTGTCGCCTTGTCGCCCCCTGCGCCTTTCGCCTCGTTATCCACATCTTCCTCCTCGCCCTTTCTTTGTCGGATTTGATTGTATTGACGCTGCTGCTGCTGCTGCTGATGCTTTTGCTCTTCGATCTTTTCACCGGAACTCATTGTCGTACACCGATTTTAAACTGTGCATCAAACGATATTGATGTGAAATACTCGATTAGTTTATTAAAGAGTGATAATAAAACGATTGCACTAATTGTAACCGAATATTTAAATAAAAATTTTAAAATTAATGAGTAAAAATGTTTTTTATCAATAAAAATTAGCTAGAACTTGTAAAACTTTAAGAAATCGAATAAGTTTTAATGTAAATAAGTAAAGTGAATGTTGAAAAATTAATAAGCGCTTCCAGTCGACCGAAAAGAATTAAGATGCAAAAAAAGCACTTGGTATCGATCACTGAACTTGCGACGATCACTCGTGCGTCGGAGCACTGCACAGATATTATGATAATGAATTAAAATTGCAAATTTTACCATTAATGTATTCATAAATGAAGTATATAGAATATACGAAACAAGATGACTCTTGGCTTCACTCGGTCCCAAGTATTATAAAGCACGCCGCTGTCCGTGTGTAACAGGTGAAATGTCACTATTTAGCGCGTACGGAGCCGTCGGAGACTGTCGAAAGAAAAAGCCAACATTTGCTGGGTAATGTGTGTATACAGACTAAATTGCCGATTACCGAGGCGCGTGTAAAAGAGCGAGAGAGGAAGACTTTTTTTTTCTCTCTCTCTCTCTCTCCCCCGCAGATTTACAAAGAGACAGAGAGAGACTCGTATTATGCTGTATACAAGTTGCAGTGGCAGAACGATGTGCGGGGGAGTTGTGTTGCTCTTCGTCACCGTCGTCGTAGCCGCCGCCGCAGCCGTCGCATCTATTCTTCCTTTTGCTCGGCGAGCAGCACGTGATATTGCCAATGCAATCGCCCAGCGGAGCTGTAAACGAGTCCAATGGCACCCTACATCCGTTTTCATCAACGACCGATTAATAAACATACCGATCGTACACTGCACATACACAGAGGCTCTTACGATCATTCGTTCTATACTGGATGTAGTACCCGGATTGCCGTGATACAACGTTTTACGATCGGATCAATTACTTACGCGCTCGGATCGTGTGCAGCACTGTTTACTTTACCTTCGATCATCTCGTGCTGGAGCGTCATTTGCTTGCTGGATAGAGGCACACAATTCGAAATGAAAAAAATTCGGAAGTTGCATTGCACAAACGTCGCGCGCAGTTTTCGAGAGAGATTATTTTCTTTCCGCGCGCGCGGGCGCCATGCGCGCTTTTCACTGCGAATGTCAATTATGCTGCCGAGGCTCGCAATTGCACGAGACCGAGAGAGAGAAAGAGTAATTTGGCGCGCTGCTGAAATAGTCCTTGCTCGTCGTATAGCAAAGAGAAAAAAAGAAGGAAAGAAAAAAAAATATATTCTCATTTTTAATCGACTCGAGCTACGACGTCCCATGAGAGTCGCGAGCTCGGTACGTCTATATCATGTATGTGCTCGAGCAACGACCTAGAACGAGAGATAGAGTAGAGTCGAACGCGTTTTTAGAAGGTTTCCGAGGAAAATTATTCGAAGCCATGATGTGATTACAGTACAATGAGCCGATCCGCACACGCTCCGTAGGTGCAATGACTCTCTCGCGATCGGACGACCGATGAGTGTATGCTGTGTGTGTATAAATCAGATGACTCGGATTTTTTTTCTTTTTTTATATAAAAAAGCAATCAATTTATTGTATAAAACTCATCCAACAAACATCTCTTTTGCACACTTTCTTAAGAATACAATATTGTAATATCAAAATTTCATTTCATTAACTATTTATCAGTACCAATTAATATTACGCACTTGATACAAAAATTAGTTATATACCCTATTATAATATAAAATTTTGTTAAATACAATAATTTGCTTATAAAAATATACATTAAACATTATAATTAATACTGAAAATTCTAAATACAATAATAATAGCTTTACTGAAGTAAGCAATTGAAAAATTCTTTAAAATACATTGTAAAAGTTAATATTACTTCATATTCTTTTGTACACAATTTTTAAAAATAAATCTGTTTGTTCATATAAGCAATTACAAAAATTACTCAATAACAATTTTTTTAAATACTCGCATCTGTCAAGAAAATAATATGACGAATTTCTGAATTATCATTAAGAATTCATTTTCCTTGTCACTAGAGAAAAATGTTAATTTGAAACATTATTTGTTATCATTTTATATTAAATACTAGTTTATTGCCATGACGAGTAACTCTTTTATTATTTTGTTCTTTGCCGTCACGACCAACTTTTTTGTTTGCATCTGATGGCACTATTTGCATCTGTTCTGGTTGTACACTTTGCTCAGTATTTTTGATAGAACGAGATGCTAAAGCTTTAGTATTTGCAGATGCTTTCAAAAGAGAATCAAAATGAGCCAAACGTTGTCTCAATGCTTGATTTTCTTTAATTAATCTCTCTGTATCTCTGTTCCTATCAATTCTATTATCATGACTGGAGCTACTTGTTTCTTCTGCATAATAATTAAATAAGAGATTCAGTTGACGTTCGTAAGATCTATGAAGTCTAAATAGTTTAGCATCATATTCCATATCCTTATTCTTCAAAGTTTCTTCCAGAGTAGCATTTTGAATTTCAAGATTTTTGGAACTATCTTTAAGATCAATGACTTTGTAAAAGTATTTGTAAAATAATGTGACTAATTCATCATGAGACAAATTTTCTAATCGATTCATAATGGGAATATGCTCATCATTCCTAGTTAATTTTGATTTTTTTAAATCTCCATCATTACATATCATAACATTTTTTTGTTCTATCATGGCATCAATAGTTTCTACATATTCACTAATTAGTAAGACTTGTCTTTGTCTCTGTATTGTTACTGGAACTTGATCACTTGTATATTTACACTTCATGTCTATTAATTTATCTCTAATACATCTCAAGTTATGGATTTCCCGTCTCAATGTGTCATTTTCATTCATATTATCTAATTTACTCCCATCTAATTGCTCTTTCAATAAATTACCTATGCGACTAATTTTTTCATTTTCCTCCAGTAAATTTTTATCTCTGTCTTCATTTTTCAATTTTATTTTACTCTTACTAGTTTCATCATGAGATTCAGAATTTTTTTCTTTCAATTTTGACAATGATGATTTATGTTTTTCTTCCAACTCGATTATCTGTTGTTTATTTTCAAGTATTTCGTGTTCTAAACATTGCTTTTGTTTTTCTTCATTTACAAGTTGTTGTTTCAATTTCTCCATTCGCTTTTTAGACTCTTTCAATGAATTTTCAATATATGAAATAGTATCAGAAGAGTTGCCAGCAAGTTGTTTTATTATTTTTGTATCTCTTAGTTTTTTTTCATAATGTTTTAATGCTCTTTCACATTTTTCAATTTCTTCTTGGTGATTAGATTCATCATCAGTATCTTTACAATGCAATTTATAATTAAGTACTTCTTCAACATCTCTGTACATTTCTGCATATTTATCTCTTTTTTCTTGAAACTTCTGTTTAGCACTGTCTCTGGCATCACTATTTTTCAACATATCTTCTATAAATTGTTCTTTAATTGTGATAATGTTTTGCAGTTCCCTCACCTGCTTATGTATAAGTTCTAAATTCAATTGAATATCTTTTATGTGTAATTTTTTCTCTTCATTAGTCATCTTTAACATTTTCAGTATAGTATAGTTTTCAGTATCAATGATGCTATTTTTATTTGTCATAACTTTTGTACAATCATCTTCAAAACTCTTCTTACCTTTAGCTTCACTTTCTTTATGTTGTCGCTCAGAGTTTTGAGGAATTATTTTACTAAAATCTTGATGACTTTTTTGAACAACACTGAAGGCATTTTGTTGCTTTTGAAATTCAATAAATTCATTACTCATTTCAGAGTGTGGTAATATAGACATCCTTCTAGAAGTAGGATTTCTAATAGGTATTGGCTTTACAATTGGAACAAATCTTGTATTACTTAACTGTAATTCTGGAGAATCTTCTCTTTCATTTAATAAACATTCATTTTGTTTAGTATCTATAATTTTATCAGTATCCATCTTAAATTTTTTCATATATTCATCTAATTTACCTAAAAAATCTGAATTTTCAGATTCAGTCTCACTGTGATCTTCTTCATAAGAAACTTCACTCTCAGAACCAGAAAAACTTTTTCTTTTAGATAATGATTTTTGCCAATTACTAGATTCATCTGTTTTTTCATCTGTTTCTGTTACTTCTTCGATTCTTTCGAGTGATTTCTTAACATTTTCTGTAAAACCTGGTAAACTACTAGAATCATCAGTACCAATACACTCTTCATACTCTTGTTTTAAGCAAAGCCATTGTTCTATTTGACTTTTTAATAAATGTTGTTCTTCTGATGAAAGAGCATTATTTGTCATTAATTTGTTGAAAAGACCTTCTGCATTCAAAACTAATTTAGACCACTGTGATGCAGCAAATGCTAGGCGAAATACTTCTCCATTAGGACTTTGATCACCAGATGTTTCCGATGGCATTTCATCACCTGTATGATCTGTTTCTTCCTCTTGATGATCACTCGATGAATAGTAGGCATGCAGATCATTTATTGCATACTGATAATAAGGATGTTGCTCCATTTGTAACTGATGCAATAATTGTTGGTGATGAAGCCAAGGCCCACAATTCATCATTGTTGCATCCATATTTGTGACTATAAACAAAAATATTTCATAATATATAATAATGCAAATTAAAAAAATTGTATTCTGATTAAGCTGGATTTAATGGAAATATACTTTTATAACTTTTTTTGTATTTTGAATAACAATAAATTATGTTTATCCAAATAATCATTGTACAACATAGGTTATTGATAAAATTATAATTAATTTAACTAACCTAATTAAAATCTTTATTTACCTTTCTTAAGTGCAAAGTAATGTTTTTAGAAATACTTTAAACGAAATTCAAAGCACTTAATGTATTGAAGTTAACAAAAACAAAATTGACAGCTGCACATGTTAACACAAAGGGAATAGGTACTTTTGAAAAGTTTACTTACATTTTAAACAATATTTCAGGCCCTGTTAATGATGTATGTACGCTGTTCTAGTTACATCACAATTACACAATTTCCATCGAATCCAAAATAATCAAAATTCGAAACAAAGTACACCGATGACAAAGCGATGATTAAAACAAATAAATATAAAACTACAACAATTCGGTTTTGGCAGGTCAGCTTGCGACTGGGTCTAGTCTGTAACTCCCTCTGGCGAGCAATGCAAAAAAGCTGCAATCTGCATGAAGATGCTGTGAAAAAGCAGACCTCTGTAAAATTTGCAATAAATCTCGGAACTATGAATTTGAAAGTTAATGTTTTGCATATAATTTTATTATCCATATTTAATAACTGTTTCAAGTTTGATTTATAAAAGAATAATTAATGAAATAAATTAAGCTTATATGATGAAAGGTATTCTAGAGATGATTCTCAAAACAAAACGGAGTTCGTGATTTAATTAATATCGGTTAATTTTTTAAATCGCCTTCTAGAGTAACGGCAAAAATAATGTACCCAGCGAGTAGATCCTTATTTTTTTATTAGTCGTAGTAAAATCCCGTGCGGTTATGATGGTAGGCGTCTGATACGTCAAAACTTGTGTTGTACACCAAAAATTCGCGCGCAGAAGTGATGTAAACACACACGCACATATATATGGGTCAGATTCAGAATTTTTCAAATAAACCTGCGGGCGAGGTTCACGGATTTTCCTGAAATTTTGGTATGTTATAGTACATGATAAAAAAGTGCCAAAACCAAAATTTTGGACCCCCTCCCCCCTCCTACCCCCCTCCTCCCCTATAGACGTCCATTTTCTATCTATATTTTTTCTGAAGGCCTGAAGCTATTAAAAAATCTGAAAAAATTCATGAAGGTACTTTTCAACAATCCAAACAATCTTGAATTTTTTCAGATTTTTCGAGTGCTTCAGGCCTTCAGAAAAAATCATTGAAAATTTAAATTATTTTATTTTCGGTGAAATGGTTCGATGTACCAGACCGGAGTATTTTTTTCTGAATTCTGACGTCAAAAAACGATTCCTTGAATTTTTTCAGAATTTTTCATTCATGTCCATTCAGCCTAGAGCTGAAAAACCGCTTTTTTTCACGAAAATAATTTTTTTAAGGCGCTACGGAGCCTCAAAAAATCTGGAAAAATTTTTTTCTCATTTTGTTCATCAAAATACATAATCTCAAATTTTTTCAGATTTTTTAATTGAAGGCGATAGCGTCTGGAGCCGAAAAACGTTATTTTTAACAAAAAAGGTTCCTGGAACCCGATGGTTCCGGTAAAAAAATTTGAAAAAATTTTTTTTGAATTCCTTGTCAAATTTTAATAAATTTTGACCGTTTCAAAAGTTCGATTGAAGCTTCCTAGCTCATTTTAGAGCATCAAACGAGTTTTATCATTCCTTAATGTCTTCAGAAACGTCTTCAGATATTTTGCACTAATCTTTGTCCTGCTCTAAAATGAGCTAGGAAGCTTCAATCGAACTTTTGAAACGGTCAAAATTTATTAAAATTTGACAAGGAATTCAAAAAAAATATTTTCAAATTTTTTCACCGGAACCATCGGGTTCTAGGAACCATTTTTTGTTAAAAATAGCATTTTTCGGCCCTAGAAGCTATCGCCTTCAATTAAAAAATCTGAAAAAATTTGAGATTACGTATTTTGATGAAAAAAACAAGAAAAAATTTTTTTCAGATTTTTCGAGGCTCCGTACTGTCCTAAAAAAATTATTTTCGTCAAAAAAATCGGTTTTTGGCTTCAAAAGGTGCGTTAGGTAATCTGAAAAAATCTGAAAAAAATTGAGGTTATGTTTTTTAATGCGAAAAATAACTGAAAAAATTTCCGAGTACTACATCGGCTCATACCGCCGTATCTCGATTTTTGAAATTTTCAATGATTTTATCTGAAGGCCTGAAGCACTCAAAAAATCTGAAAAAATTCAAGGTTGTTTGGATTGTGGAAAAGTATTTTTATGAATTTTTTCAGATTTTTTACTTGCTTCATGTCCTCAGAAAAAATATAGATCGAAAATGGACGTTTATACCGGAAGAGGGGGGTAGGAGGGGGGAGGGGGTCCAAAATTTTGGTTTTGGCACTTTTTTATCATGTACTATAACATACCAAAATTTCAGGAAAATCCGTGAACCTCGCCCGCAGGTTTATTTGAAAAATTCTGAATCTGACCCATATATTATGCTGTTGTATATATACAAATCGCCACGTAGTAGACTACATGCTGTCTGATATAGGTAAAATAGGTAGTTATCTTCATTTTATACATACAAGTGGGTCTAACTCACAGCTGTGTGCGCGTCTTATGAACTAAAATCTCGGCATTTTAATTGCCATACGCGTCTGCTTCTGGCACTCAAGCAACATATTTTAATTATTTTTTAAAAATTTTTCTATTAATTTATCTTAAATTTTTTCCGTCCTCAAAGTTGAGATCTGTCAAGATCATACCCCAAGTGTTAAATCATGTCTCAAAACGGTGGTTGGGAGGTAGTTGGCAAAAACAAGAAAGATAAAGCAGCCGGGGGCAAAAATGGCAAACTTTCCAAAGCCGAAAAGAAGAAATTCATCGATAATGCTCCAAGGGTTGAAGATTTTCGTAAGTTTTTGGAAAAAAATAATTTTTTAAGTTCATATTATTTTTCGATCTTTCGATCTTTTATATTTAAAAACAAACTCGTCTTGGCATTCCAATCCATTGAAATTTTATGAAATGAACTACTCATAATTACTAACAGCTTTTTCATTTTTTTTAATAAACTGTATACACTTAAATTTAATGGAGATTCTAGTAAAAAAATTTTTTTGTTTCAGTACCACTAGATCAAGTGAAAACACTGTATGACAATTTAGGTGGGAATAAAGACAATAAAAAAGTACTCAAAGAAAAAGCTAATAAAACTAAGGAAAATGAAGAAAAACAGAAGAAACAAAAACAAAATCAGCATTCAGAGAAAAAGAAAGAAGATTCCCCCAAGATTTCCCCCAAGCCTCCTAAAGAAAAGCAGCCAAAGACCCTGGAAGAAGCACTTAAGATGGTAACCAAATGTTTAAAATAAAAAGTAATTAAAAAACTTGACTATTTATACTTTTCAGATTAGTGTGACAGAAATGCAGACCATGTTATCATCTAATAAAACTAGTTTCCCTGATGCACCTCTCCTTTGGCTCAAAAATCTTGGTGCTTATCTGAATTCTAAAATTACAATAGATAAGGATGACCCAATGTTTACTGGAAAACCTGATAATTATCCATTGAATTTAGTTCCACAAGCTTTGTATTCCTTGTGTGAAAAAGTTATTCAAGATGCAGGTCCAGCTACCGTTAAATTGTTCTATGAATACATTTTTACAGCAATAACTATAGAAATGGGGAAGGGTGCTCCAGTTGTAGGATATAAAATATTAATTCAGCTTTTGGCTAAATATGATCCAAAGCTCAGTGTATCAAACATACAGAAACTTATTAATATGCGAAACTCCTATCAAAATAGAAAACCTATTGGATTGACTCTATTGTGGTGTTTTAATCAAGGAGGAAAACAGAATTTATCTGTAGGTTTGAAAGTGTGGCAAGAAGTTATGGCACCAATGATGGAGGCCAAAAGTTACTGCAGCAATGTAATGAAAATTTTAACAGAACTTGTAAAAACACATTTATCAACTGAAGAAAATCTTCAATTTGACTCGTACTTCAGTATTTATGAGGCCTTTTTCTCAGGAAAATATAATCTTTCTCAACAAGTTGTTAAAGAAGGGTTTGAAATTTGTAAAACATTAAGGGTAATTAAATTTTAAAAATATAAATTGACACTATGATTCTGTATTATCTGTAATTCTGTTTAATACTGATACATTTTTATTTTCCAGGTCATATTGTTAAATAATAAAACTTTGAATCATAAGAAAGTATTTGATGCAATATTCCCATTGATACAAAAACAAACTACAGATGAATTAAAAACAGAACTTGTCAACATTCTTACATTATGCCTTGGACATGATGATCGTTGCTTCGCTGCATGGAAATCATTGTACATGAAAAATTTATGTGCCACTGCTTTGCTGTTATCACACATTGGTAAGCCTTTTAGAAATTAAAATGATAAAAATACTGATATTTATAATCATCAAACAATCATTTTAGAAACTAATTGGAATAAGTTAACACCTGCTTTGAATCCTAAAGTAGTGACTGAAGTCATTGAAACATTCCTAACGACACATGAAAAGAGAACTACGAAAGGAAAAGGAAAAGAGGATAAATACTTAGCCTTAAGTATTGGCAACGCAAAGGTAAAATTATATTTTATTTGTGGAATTCACCTTACTAGTGAAGCATGGTCCAAGTTTACTATACAATAATTAATAATACAGAAAAGAGAACTTCATTAAATTACGGAAATATTCAACGAGCAAAACGTTTTAGTAATAAGCAGTGCTTGAAGTAATATCAGTGCATGCACAGTTCAAGTAGGAAGGGCTTTTATCAAATTCCGAGGCGCGATAGCGCGATTAATTTAATTCACCGAGAAATGAGGAATTCATACCGTAGAAATAATTCTCAACGAATATTTTTCAAGTAAAGAATGTAGCGTAGGCATTAAATTAGTCCGTTACGTATTTCGCAATTGTACTCAGAAATTTTAATCAGCTCTAAAAAAAGGCTATGCTCGTGACATTTTTTTTTTTTCGTCACAAAAATGTACACGTTATCGTAAGTGATTTAATTTCGCTTTAGTGCCCTCTTCATTAATCGTATAATTTCATAATTTTGTAATTGAAAAAAAAAAGAAGTAAGTGAACCATTTATAAGCGAAAAATTCACTCGCATCGAAACGCGGCTCTCATACATTCGGATTGAAGTGAGCCCAATATGTGCGCGCGAGTGCATTGAAAAGAAATTCACGTTTTGTTCGTCGCACTCGAGCGAAACTTGCAAAAAATTTCTGTCGCGATGCAATAAAAAAAGTCAGAAGAGAAATTACAATAGATTGTCGGTCGATCACCCCGAAAGCTGGCAGCGATCCGCGATAATTTTTCCACGCGCATGGGTCCTCTGAAAAAAAGGTACGAATTTAAGCCGAGCAAACGCTCAGGTTTGTTTATAATCTTGCTGCGGCGTGGGGAACTGTGCGTCATTAGTGCTCGGCGTTGTCGTTAATTTTTCAAAAAGGTGTACACATAGTACACACACGCGCATATAGTATGTAGCGTCTCATTCATGCATTCTGCATTATTGCGTTGATAGTAACAAGCCATGGCAAACGTAAAATTCATCATAGGGGGCCCCCACTCCTAGGGTCTGTTTCTCTCTCCCTCTCTCTCTCTGCGCGGGTTTAAATGGCGATTGGCGTCACTTGAAAAATTTTTCCCCGCGCGCGCGCGAGCGCGTTCTCGTGTAAGCATAGGATTCGCTCGCTGCTGTGTGCTACCCGTATCCTATATCTATATATGTACGAAATTGCGGCGCGCAGACACACACGCCGAGAGCGAGTGAGACCCGAGGAGAGATATGTGTACGTAGAGTGTAACCGCCTCTCATCGTCGTCGGATCGCTCGCGCTATAAAATTGCGTCGATGGTGTTATACTAAATTTATCTTTACCGAGAGAGATCCATTTGAACGCGATCAGTGCTGTGTGCTTCGTGGACAATCTATACAATCTCGTGATCCTTTTTTTCCAATAAACTAGAACAAAAAGAAAAAACGTTACAAGAATAATTAACAATTGTGCACTACTCTAAGAAAACGAAACAGCAGCCAATATGCCTCCGACGAATAAATCCCGACAAAACAGAACGGTAACTATCAACGAAAAGTGTGCGTGTGCGTGTGTGTGGCGAGTTATCGAAAATAACGCACGATGATATGCGTGGGCCCTTCGTATCTGGGCGTCCTTCGTCCTGCGGTCGTTGCTGTTGCGGGAATGGCGTGTGCCGCATAAGCGCACGGCAGCCAATTTCGAATCTCACGAACGAACAACCCGCGGAGACGAATCGTCTAATGATCGGAAAGTGAAAGCGCAATGATTTTCTCTGTTTCGCAACTGGCGACGAGGGAGTCGGTATAGACCGGAGATGGAGATGAAACGAAGCATAGAGTCTGTGCTGTATCGATTATATTTTCCGCTGCATAAATATTGATTTTTGCCTCGTTTTCCTTCGCGCTCGTGTACGTTATACATATATAGATATAATATGCGTGTGTAACGCCTAAGCAGCTATATATGTGTACGTGTAGGCGCGCGCTCGTAAACGTAACTGCTGTTGCTGCTGCTGCATGCAGGCGGCCGGAGCAAGGCCTTATTCCTCAATTTAGCTATTGACTGCCAGTCTTTAATTGACAATTTGCATACACACGTAATGCTCGATATTTTGCTCCTGTCCTCGGAGTTAGTATGGTAATATTTTTGTTGATTTTCATCGACGCGACAGCAGCTGCGGTGCGCGCGTGTATACGTGTATGTATGTACACACGTCGAGCTTTTCATTGTATATAAACGAACGATAGTACGATGAAAATCGACGTGTCATTTAACTTTTCCTGATATTATTTCCAAGCATGCTCGTTCGTATACACAGAGTGTAGATCGCTCAAATACACGCGCCACATTGTTGTCTATGATTGAATCACTCGTCGATGCTGTCGGATAACGCTAAGCTCCATTACTCATCGATTTTCCTGATGGCTTTTCAAAAGGGGATAAGCGCATTTTTACGAAACCACACAAATCATTAGCATTCTCGTTTCTTTCCTTTCTCGTTTTAATAATAACGAGTTGACTGGTTTTAATGAGTTTTTATTCCGGAATACATATATTCGATAAAGCGCTATTATCGAAAAGTCGTGTTTTATGAAACGTATGAACTTTTGTTTTTATATTTATACATTTAACTATGCATTTATATACATGTATAATACTAATTTTTATCTTGTATGTGCTTAACATTTATCATTTGACATTTCAGACACTAGCTAGAAAAATGGCAGAAAAGAAAGCTAAGAAGGGTGGTTTTCGTTGGAAAACTATTTGCTTATTACTGCTCCTTTTAATTGGTGGATTTGTTGCCTATGATTCTCATAAGTATGGATCTTTTGGAGGTAGGTTTCTCTTTCATAGTTATGATCATCATTTAATTGTTTTATCTACATATCATTGTATAATTTTTTAGCTACAAGCACTGGAAAATTTATGCGAGAAACTGGAATCTCTGATTTCGCTGAAAAAAGTTGGAACACAACTAAGGCACTCGTTGATGATGGGTTTAAAAAACTAGAATCAACCTCCCCTGAACATTACAAAATGGTGAAAGATTTCTTCGCGCCCTACGTTAAATTAACTGGAGACTTTTATCGTGTAGTTCAGGATGTTGCTGTTAAACAATTTGTTAATATTGCAACCTATATATCTGACACAAGACCATTGGTGGCTGCTAAGGTAAGATTTGAATTTTTTAAAATGATTTTTTAAAACTTGAAGACTATTCAATTTCTAAACAAATGACTTGGTATTTACTTTAGATTGAAGAATATGCCCCTGGTTTGTTAGATTCTGTACAGACTGGTGTCTCTAAAGCTATGAATGCTATGAAAAATGCATTCATTTTCATGGTTGAGCAAATTATTGAAAATACTTCATTGGCTTTGAGATACTTGAAAACTAATGTATTCGTGTAAGTATACTTTGATAACAATTTTCTAAGTAAAAAAGCATCTTTTCTAAAAATGAATATTTTTTTTTAGTGGAAAGCTAAGCCCTGAAAGTTTACAAAACTATGCTAGTTTAGCTATCAACAGAACGCACATTTTTGCAAGTCAAACTTATGACTGGGTGTACGAGAAAGTGCAAACATTTTCAAAAGTGAATTAAAAAGAAATTGATAATCCTTGTTGAAGAAAAAAGATTCCACTGGCAACAACTTCATCACAAGAGTGCATTTATTAGTTTAAAAATAGAAGTTTGTTGATGAATTTCGGCGGTCATGTCTTTTTATTAAGGCCATTCAACCTGTGATAAACAAAAAAAGCGTATCATTATTGGGGTTAACAATAGTATCTGAAAAATGTTTAGTTACTTATCTCTTAGTTTAATGATAGCTTAAAATTACGAAGCTCTTTTGAACTTAATAAAACCTTATAATTAGTATGACTGTTGCAGGAATTGTATAAAATAGAAACTCTATGACCTCTTTTTGTATTGTGAATGTATTTTCTTTATATATAAATTTGAGGATGTGTAAAATAAATAATTCATTTTTGTATAAAAATTAAAAAGTTTATAAATCACTTTTCCTTACAAATGCTCAAACTATTTATTAACAAATAAAACCGAAATCTAAATAAATTCAGTGTTAAACTATGTATTATTACTATGCAATCAATAATAATGAGTAAAGATTGGTTACCAATATAAAGAATAAAAACTGAAATAACAATAATACAATAGAAAATTACATTGAAAGAGATCCTTCAAATATTGAAGCTTACAATTCACGTCAGCACAATTTATGTCTTAAGATGATGAGCGTTCATCATCTATCAGCAAAAGCACTTTAAATATTTCGAGTCAATACTTCGCGTTTTGTATCACTTTCAGCATAAATTCATATTTAATAATGCACATTTTGTATATTGATTAAGATGCACTTTTCATTGTACAAACTTCTGCTTAGCAGTCTAGTAAATGCAGGTTACAACTCATATGGAAAAAATAGCTTCATTGTATTCTTGTAAATTTGGTTGCAAAGATACTCTTCTTCTTCCTCTCTCACACTTGCAAGGACTTCTAATATTTGTCTGGAAAAATAATCTGAGTTATAGATATACTTGCATTATTATTTTTACAGAAAAAACTTATTTATGCTTACACGATATTGCAAGGTTCATTTCTTCCTTTTACCATTCGATCCGGTTGCCACTTTTCTTTTTTAACAGCAGGAAAATGTGTAACAATATCTTTGGCTGAAGCATGTGTCGGTCTAACTTCACACCATGGACAGTCTGTTTCTATTACAAGCCTGTCTGATGGTATCGTTGTGACAACAAACATATTTTCTTCAGTCTTGAGCGAACTAAAATAAAAATTTAAATTTAGAAAAATAAATCTACAAAGACTTTTTAAATTAAAAAAAGCATCTTACCAGCCATTGATTCCAATATAAAGCCCTAACTGTAACATGCTGTACGCATCTTCTGTATTTCCATCAAATGAATGAACAACACCATTAGTTAACTTATCTTTGTTTTCTCTTAAAATACGTACAAAATCTTCAGCTGCATTTCTGCAGTGCAAAAACATAGGTAATTTGAGTCTTGAACACAAGGATAACTGCATCTCGAAGTACTTTTTTTGAGTTTCTTTGGAACAGAATTGCAATCTATCATAATCTAATCCCATTTCTCCTATAGCTATGATTTTATTTTTATTGTTAACAGCGAGCTCGTACAGCTCATCCAAATAAGCATCCGAATCTCCTGACTCTTCTATTTCATTACATCTAGTAGGATGACAGCCAACGGTTGAAAATAGTCTGTCTGTGAATGAAAAAAAATAAACATTTCATTGAAATCTATCACTTGTAATTTCATCTGAATAGTTGTAGTGATGGAATAAGATCATAATTATACCATCTGTTTTTGCGAGTTCTAGAGCTTTTTTACTCTCCTCCAAGCTACCGGCAGTTATGATGATTTTTGACAGGTTGTTGTTCCAGCTTCGTTCTAGAACTTTATCAAGATCGGGTGGATGCTTCTGCGAGCCATTGTAAATACCTTGATACATGGGATCCGTCAAGTTAGCACCAATATCTACAATGAAGCAAGCGCAAAAACCTACGATTAGCATATAATAAAACAAGGCGGATTGATCAGGAATAACCTCAGTTTCACTCAGTGGAAAAATGTAATGCGGCGTTAAAAAAAAATTATGCACTGGAGCGATTATGTTATTATTACGATACACACAACATACACAATGTCCAAATCTCTCACTATACTCATACCTATGAATCTTCGCAAATTGATCATTGTTCTTTTTATCATGAAGCCCAAGGCGTGCAATAAAAGTTGTTGTCCAGCCTCGCGGATCCGCGGGCGCTTTGTTTACCCAACGGCGAGAGCTCGGGGGGCAGAACCCGGAGGGACGATTCCGAGCAGGCCTCCGACGCTAGGAATCCGCGGGCCGTCTGCAACAACCGACGTTCATCACAATGACTCGGGATTGATGTATTGTATAGCTTTGTATGTATACGTATGTGTTATAGGCATAGATATACAATATAGCAGTACACACAGTGTATCTATACTGAGCCTATCGATGTATCGGCCAGCCGCCGCCGCACTTCCTCCAACTCCGAGACTATTATCTTATAGAGGCAAAAGTAACTAATAAACAGAGATCCGGCGATTGCGATCTTCAAGTTGCGCAAATCTAGTGGAGGTTAGCAGGTGTCTCTCTTGCATACTTGTAACTGATTATAGTCCAATGAGTAGCGGGGCACGCCGCTCAAAAAACGCGCCTTATATTGAACTGTATGAAATGCGGCGGTCACCCTCTCGGTATCCCATGCGTATTTCACCTGGCACTGTGCGAGTAAGGGTGAGATCTTTACTCTCGGTCGCAGCTTGCAAAAATAGCCATAGATCGTGTGCGTTCTATTATAGCACCCATTGCAACGCTAGGCGTATACATTACATATGTATAACACAGTTCATTCGCACGTACAAGAGGGAGACTGACATTTTCAATCCCACCCCATGATAAAAACAAGTGCGCAAGTACTGATCCGTGTGTATGTATGTATGCTCACTTTTGCGCTCTCTCCATGTAATACGCGCGATAGCGCCGTATATTGGCTCGATTATTGGATTTTTCCTCCGGCTAACTTACCCTCTTTCGTGAATTTTATCGTACGCTCCACATCAAACATCGGATACGTCGTTCTCGTGGCCATTACATATTCATTCCGTTATGTATATTTTATGCGGCTGTGGTGTACCGACTCCGACTCGCTGCATGCGACGTGTACAACGTGCACCCAACGAGATACGTGCAGCAAAAGTATTCATTTTTAAATCGAACGTAGAAAAAAAATCGGTATCGATTTAAGTCAATGAAAATACATTTTTTTATTATTTCATTACAATATAAAAGAATTTACAAAGACTTAGAATGACACTTTGAGTGTCAGATCTACTCATAGAAAGCATTCATACGCAAAAATTGATTATGCACCAGTTAAATGCAAATCAAAAACTACAAATAAAACTTATGTCCTTTGAAAAACATTTACTTGAAATTTAAAAAATTGCTCTGGAACCTTAAATTTGCTGACAAATGAGGTTCTGTGCTACTTTGAAAATGCATGATGTTCTTATATAATAGCTTACAAATACTTGAAGCTTGACTGTGGATCAATCAAATAAATGCAACAATATTTTACAAAACTGTGGTTGAGAATTAGATATTCTCTGACTTCAAACAATTCTGAATGAGTGATATCACAACTTGCATTCATGCAAGTTTTTGAGTGCAATGATTTATTGCAAAGACTTGACAATGTTGTTGATTTTTTCTACACAATCTTCTTTCTTCTTAGATAGAATAGACTCTGCATCAATGAATTGCTGTCTGCCCATTTTACCTGGCACCAATTTATCAACATACATAGATTGCTGTTGATTATAGAGATCCTTCAGAGTTCTGTCGTGTTTTTGAAGTGCTTGTATCCTTTCATAAACATCTCCAGATTCTCCTTTTAATCTTTGAGCTGTTAATAAAACAAAAAGTTATAAACTAAAAATATTTCACATTCATAAAGATTTAAAAAATTTAGTTACCTAATTCTGCAATGGCAGCAGTAGCATTTTTGTATTCTTGATTAACTCCCTTAACTGCAGATGAGAATAAATTAACATCTTTGTTGGTTTTTAATTGAGTTAACAAGTCATCTAAGTTATTGTACGATGAAACTCTGCGATCTTGTGCTGCCAAAATTTTTTCACATTGTCCAGCAACACGTAATTTACTCTCTGAAGCTTCATCTTTATCAATAGAGAAGTCCAAACGAACATAAACAATAACCATTAGGAACATAATATATAAAGCTACAGTAACCAAAAGGGGCTCTTGCAGCATCAGTAACTTAGGGAATGTGTACTTGAGCTTGAAGTTTTGGATGTGATTTTCTACTAGATTTTTCTTGGTTACAGATATTACTGGTCGACCTGTAGTATCCAAGTATGTGTAATGAAGAGAGTCAGGTAGACGAGTAGCCTCATATGGAAGCTCTATTTGAACATTGTTAGATCCCTCTGGTAAAATTACTTTAAGAACCATCTCATCAACAACCATATCGTCATAGATATGATCAAGCAATCTCATATCTAAAATATATTCATCACCAGAGTTGTAAAGATATTCATAACTGGGAACATTGTATCCAATAATGTAACGAGTTTTCCATCCACCAAATAACGGGAAACGAGGTCTCAAATTCAATTCTACAGAATCTTTCTTAATTTTTGTGTGAGAGGTAGATATGTTACCAATCTCATCTCTATAATAAATATCTGAAGCAGCTGCTGGCAAAATTGTATCAAAGCTTGCAATGCTTGGTTGGCCAGATTTCATTTCTCTTGCATATTCATACCTTGAGAATGATCCTAAAAATGATAAAAAAATAAATATCTATTAAAAAAATATTCTATAATTCCATAAAAAAATTCTTTTTGAATAGAAAAATTAAAACATACCTTTGAGCAAAGCTCCTGTATGCAATAAATCAATAGTTTCTTCGACAGCAATATTACCCCAGTGAGATACTTCAATAACTCTTTCAAGTTTGGTGACAGTAAGGAATTTATTGTTATTCTCAAAATGCACCATTAATTCTTCTTTGGCAAAAGCAGGTCTCTTATCAAAAGGACCATAAGTAATGGTTGTATCACTTTGGGTGACAGGTTTGATTCTGGAGTAATTTTCAACATTCCTAGATGGCAAAACAACAGTTGTGGTTTGCTTGGTGACAGGGTACGGTGAGTAGAGGTACACATTGCCAAGATATTTAACAAGCTGTTTATCTTTTTGCATAATCTCCTTGGGATAAGGTTGCAGTTCATGAGTGAGAAGAACTTCAACTTCGATGGGCATGGATCTCTGAGGTTGAAGTGGGTCCTTCAGCTCAATGGAGAAGAATATTTTATCGGAATGTTGTGGTATCGAGCCATCCTTGACAGGCTTGACTTTGAGCTCGGGTCTTCCGTGCTCTCGGAGCAGAGCCGACACATAGCTGAGCTGTTCACGTTGCTTGGCGTCCAGAGCGAAGAGCACGTACTTGACCGGGCTCTTACCGGTGTTCTCGACGACGAGCTTGTTGGTGATTTTCGTGAGCTGCGAGTGCAGATCGATGGTCCGGTCGGCATTTTTGATATTGAGACTCGGCTCGATCACGAAGTTGCCGCTGACCAGGGCGGAGCACAGGACGAGCACCAGTGCGGCCACGGCAGCCGAGAAACAATTTCTTCGACCGTGGAGCTTCATGATTGCGCGACTTATGCGTGAAAAATAAACTTGTTATTTTTTACGCCGAAAACTTCCTAACCCCTGCACGCCAAACTCTACTACACAATATTTGCAGTATGTGCGCGTACTGTACGGACGTGGCGCGACAGACGTGGCTCCGCTCGGAAATAATGCCGGCTCGTTCCATTTATCGCGAAATTTTGATTGGCTAACTAAGCTCGTATCTGCCAATAAATGACACTTTTCTCGATAACACTGGTCTTGAGGCTTTTTTGTATAAAAAATACTTTTCTTCAAATAACTTTAATTTTATATTTAATTTGTTCTATGTTACAAAAGGGAATATTTTTAAAATAAATCGACAGCACCGCGTCATTTCTTTTCCTTATAACTTGAAAACATACAAAATATAACAAAACATGAAGCCTCCTAAGTAGAATAAGTTTACATAAAAAAATTTTTTTTATAAAAAAAACCCTTACAATTTTATTACTTTGCATCCTAAATTCATTGAGAATACATTTTTTCATCGGAATTAATTTTGTTAATCAAATGGTTCTGTACGAAGTACAAAATGCAATTCTATGCACTTTCTGCATCTAGGTATCATTTTGGCATCTATCCAGTCATTCTCATTTGCGATTGAGAGTAAAGAGTTGGACGCAATCGCATCCAAGTCTGAAGTCGTAAGTGCCACTGCCAACTGTATGCTAACTCCATATCATCCGTAGTTTGCACTTTTCACACATCCCGCATTCAGTCGCAGACGAACCGCGTGCGGCGTTAAAGTATTATTATTATTGCGTCTGCTCGATCACATTCTTAACATAACCTCGCCAAAATGCAACGCGTTTGGTGCATAGTCGAATAATAAAATTCGATTTTGTGTAAAAATTACGACGTGACACCTAACTTCGATTATACTACTTAACATTTTTAGTTTTAAATTTTCATTATCCGCATAAAAAATTGCGTGACAGTTAAAAAAATGTCACATTACGGATTATTAGTTGGCCTCAGGTCTAACATGTGCAATTGGTAAGTGTCATTCGTTATTGCTGATTATTATGTATACGTTTTTAGGATTTTTCAAAATTAATAATTGTTGTCATTTCATAGTGTTCATGGAATCAGAATCAAACAGAAACTAGTCAAACAAGCTAATATTTTAGCTCAAACTTATAAAGAATTATCAACTAGCTCTTTGATTAGTAATTTTGGATCAGCGTCATCACAAAATTATTTTCTTTACACAGACATTAGAAGATTTAACACTTGTTTGTCAGTAAAATATTTAGCATCATCAAATAGAAATAAAAATCATCAAGATTTAATTAGGGTAAGTTATTCATAAAAGTAATTGATAGTTCTTTCAACAATAATAACATGTTTTAACAACAAACAGGAAAGAGAAGATCCAATAGATAAACTTGATAATAGGCTTGTGGAAGAAAAAAATTTTTTTAGTAAGCATGGAGCAAAAATTGAGTCAGTAGATTCTGAATTAACAATGAGATGGATTAATACAAGTAGTTTACAGACTGATAGAGTTCCATCTAAAGGTATCTTCTATACATAATAAAGAGAATATCTTATAAATTATAACATCATAATATTAATTATATTTTTTCAGAAATTGAAGCTAGATTTCCAGAGCCCAAAATATATTTACATAATTATTACACACTTGTGTCAAATGAAACCAAAATCTCCAATGTTTTGCGTTCAAGTAGCAAAAAAGTGAATACAAAAAAATCAGTGGCTTGGTCTGTAACTTACGACATTAAATGGCCTGAAACAAGATCATTTACAGCAACTGGAACTTCAAAAAGTGCTGCATCTAGAATCGCAGCATTAAAATTATTGCACTGGTTGCATATAACAGATAGAATTCGGAATCAAGCACCAGTCATTTATAGCAATGATGAAAAACGTAGTATTTTAACTAAACCAGAAGAATTATCCTTAAATAAAGATTCTGTAGTTCATATGCAAAACTTTTTAGAAAAATATGAAGAAGTAAGATTTTTAAATAATTTAATTTATAATTTGTTTAATTGTCACTTTTCTAATGTTTGTTTTTATAAATTTAAAAGAAAATCAAGGCAGCTCTTGAAAAAGATCCAGAAGATAAACTCATTCAATCTTATGAAATGGATAATCAATCAACAAGTCATCACCCAATTTCCCATTATGAAGTTGATATAGAAGAAAGAAATGCAGAATTGCTAGAAGCTCTGAACCAGAGAGAAAATGTTAAAAAATCAAATCTACCGATCTTTGCTTACAAGTAAATTTAATTTTGTTGTTTTTATATATTTATTTAGTAAAATATTTTTTAACTTTATTTTTATTCATAGAGAAGCTATTTTAAAAGAGCTTGAAGAAAATCAAGCTGTGGTAATTAAGGGTGACACAGGTTGTGGTAAAACTACTCAAGTGCCTCAGTTCATCATGGATTATTTTGCAGCCAAAGGGAAAGGAGGAGAGTGCAACATGATTGTAACTCAACCCCGGCGTATAAGTGCTATCTCGTTAGCTCAACGTATAGCTTATGAACGTCAAGAAAAAATTGGAGATGTGGTTGGTTATCAAGTACGTCTACTCAATGCTTTGCCAAAGCAAAATGGTGCAATTTTATTTTGTACCACTGGTGTACTCTTAAAAAAACTTCAAAGCAATTTAGGCCTGAAGGGCTGTTCGCATATTATTGTGGATGAAGCTCATGAGCGCAGTGTCGATACCGATTTATTATTAGTATTGTTGCGTCGCGCAATGAAAGAAAATCCTGAGCTAAAAGTTGTCGTTATGTCTGCGACTATAAATGCAAATCTGTTCCAAGATTTCTTAGGTTGTAAATCTATAGAAGTTCCTGGTCGCTTATTCCCCGTTAAAATGCACTTCATTGAAGATATGGTCAAGCTTGGTATTTCTCGTCCTCGAGTAATTGAAGATGAAGATGGAAACAAAGTTTTCGTCGATGCGGAAGCCATTACTGATATGATCAAATATATAACAGATAATAAGCCTCCTGGTGCAATATTGGTCTTCTTACCTGGCTGGACACAGATTCAAAAGATTCAAAATAATTTAGAAAACTTTACAAATGCAGATCTACGTGTAATACCATTGCACTCGAAGATAAATATGAAAAACCAAAGTACCATATTTGAAAAACCTCCAGAAGGAGTTCGCAAGATCATTTTGGCTACGGATATTGCGGAAACTGGTATAACTGTACCGGATGTTGTTTACGTCATTGATTCAGCTTGTCATAATCAATCTCGCTGGTATGAAAGCAAGGGCTTGTCTGCCGTAGATACTCATTTTGTCAGCCAAGCAAACATAAAGCAAAGGTATATTGAATGGCCCCTAGATGAAATTATGTTTACATCCAAAATATATTTCATAAATATTGAATGAATTTTTATGCTTTTGCAGAAAAGGACGTGCAGGTAGAGTGACAGAAGGAGAAAGTTATCATTTCATCACCAGAGATCAGTATGAAAGTCTCGAACTTTATCCCAAACCAGAAGTTTTGCGAGTTTCGCTAGAAAAAGTAGTTCTAGATTCTAAGACCTACAGCCATGAAAAGGCTGTGAATTTCCTTGGAGAAATGCCACAACCTCCTCGCCTAAGTGCTGTCAATAAAGCTGTAATGGATTTACAACAATTGGGTGCTCTGGATTACAACGAAAATCTAACGGCTCTGGGAAAGCGAATTGCCATGTTTACCATTCATCCAAAAATGAGTAAAGCTATGGTATATTCTACTATTTTCCAGTGAGTAATAACAATTTTTTTATTAATATTTTAATAATTCTTTTATTAAAAAACTCGATAAAAATTTTGTAAAAACAATTACTAACTAAACAATGATTTATTGTTACAGATGTTTGAATCCAGTAGCGACAGTCGCATCAGCCTTTACCATGGATTCTGATGTATTTTACAACTCTCTGAACAGTAAAGCACGCAACCGCTTCACGAAGCAAAAATTCCATCCAACGAGCGATCATTTGTCGATCGCTTGGATTTATGCTCAATGGGAGAGTTTCTTGAACAGAAATGAAAATTCTACTTTTTATTTTTGCAAAAAAAATAATTTACACGCCGAGCGCGTGATAGTTTTACACAGTAAGTTTTTATTTTATAATTAAAAACTTTATACTCAATTCGTACAGGTACCGTCTAGCGCTCACTTTTTTCATTATTATTAAACTATATTTATATGTAACAATTAAATGCGTTTGCAAAATCTATGTTTGAAAGAGAGTCAATGGACAGTTACAAAAATTAAATAATTAAAACTCGAATTTGTCACTGACTATACTCTTTCAAGTACATTAACAATTAACTAAATTACGCTCATTTTATATAAATTCCATCATAAAAATTAATTAAAATTTATCATTTCAGAAACTCGCAGCATGAATATAGATAATCTTCGAGATGCAGGTCTCGTTGATAACGTCTACAGGGCCACTGATCTAAACAGTAAAGAAAATGACTTCGCTACTTTAGATGAACTTGTACGCGGTGTACTGCTCGCAGGTATGGATCATATTCTCAAGCACAGAAATTTCGATGTGAAAAAAGGCCGCCTATCGCGATCGGGTACATCACTGGTAACTGAGTGAGTAACGATTCTACATATATTATAATGATTTATGATTCATGCTCATTCGACTAATTGTCTCTCGACATTTTTCAGGGATAATGTCAAAGCACAACTGACACCAGAAAGCGTCAATTACAAGGCCGAAAATTATCCGAGTCCCTTCCTCACTTACTATCGAAAAACGCACCACATGGAAAGAAGAACAATCCTGATACGTGAAAGTAGCATGATTTCACCTGTTACGGTCGTATTATTCAGTCAAGGTCGCGTCACTGGTTCATTGGTAAGTACATTGATTCCACAGAAATACTGTTTTTGTGATCATTTTTTTAAATTAATCAAGCGTTTTAATTGTAATTTTTTAGTATCCGGGCGATAATGGAAGCGAAGATAAGTTATTAATTCAAATTGAAAAAAAGAAGAATGTACAGTTATTGACTGACGTCGAGTGAGTATACTTAATACTTTTTATATTTTCAAAAAATGAAAATTTTTTTAAACAACGCATAAAAATTTACAGATCGGCAAAAACGCTTTTACGCTTCCGAGATTTGATGTGGTCCGTCGTTCGCTATTTCGTCGAAAACGATGATAAAAGAAACAAACACCGCGTTATAGAATCAGGCAGCAACGCCGAAAATATCCACGCTTACAAAAAGGAGTTATTGAGAGTGTTGGCGCACGTGTTGAGTAATCATTCAACTATGATAGATAACCCACCCGAAAAAAAACAAATAGATTCTAAGCCACAAGTACAGTCTCTATTGTCCGATGACGATGGCTATATGCGATAGATTAGTTTGTAAATATAAAATAATTGTTATTGTAAATAGTTTTTACATGTTATGAAATTGTTATATATTAGGACATTAAATACTTAACGACGTTCATAAATAATGAATTTTCTTTACGGAAACCTACAGTATATTTACAGTTAAAAAATATCTTCGATCATATTGCACACAATCCGGCCTTACGTTACGTAGAGATCGGCTCGTCTTTACAAATCTAAAAATACGTATCTACATAATACACTGTACAATATAAGCTTGATTATCGTCGACCCGAATCGTCAATAGACTCGGGGCTTCAGACGAAAATCTTGATAAGTGGCAGCGGCTGCAAGCGGCGGAGGCGGTGGTGGTCTGGGGCGTTGCTGTTGCTGTTGCTGCTGTTGCTGAGACGTCGCTTCTCGAGGCCTGTAACTGCCGAAAAACACGCTGTCGGTCTCGACGCTTTCGCCTCCGCTCTCGCTGTTAGCGGCACCGTTTGTCTCGTCGCTCTCGCTTCCGCTACCCCGGTAAGAAGTCGTTCCTCGAGCTCGTTGTTGCTGTTGCTGCTGCTGGTGCTGCTGTTGCTGATGATGATGGTGATTCTGCATTTGACGACATTCCTGTGAACCGTTGCTCTCGGGGCTGCTGCTGACGTAGGCGCTGTCCTCGACGGAGCGTCGCGAGGACAGGGACTTGTCGGCGTTGCTCGTACGGCTCGAGCGTTGGCTCACCGAACGACTGGTGATGCTGTTGTCTTCGTTGGATTGGCATTGCCACTTGTTGAAGCGATGCTGATGGAGAGGATTTCAAGATTTAATTGAAATATTCATTGAAAAACATAAATACTTTTAGAAGCTTTGAGCTTTCACTAACTATTTGATCATTGGCGTTGTTGTTGTTATTACTGTGAGCATCGATGCTCGCGATGATCCTTGATCGGCTGAAGCCGTTACCGATCGCCACGTCGGAAAAGCCTTTGTCTTCGTTCGCTTTGTTCGCCGATCCGTTTTGAAGTTCTTTGTTTTTCGAATTCGAAGTCACGCGATTTCCAAATATCGACTGCTTATCGACGCTCTTGGTTTCCTTGCTATCCGCGGGACTCGTTTCGTTAGATTTTTTTTCATTTTTCGCTGTAACGATAATTCGTATCGACTGATATTAAAAAAACTCTTCATTCGTTTCAAATCAAATATTAAATTAATAACATACATAGAGTCTCGCTCGTCTCGTTGTCCGAAGTCGTCGGAGGCAGAGGCGGCGGTTTGGGAACAACGTCCGGCTGATTATCCGCTTTTCTCTGTCGTCGCTCCTGCCGTGGCAGCAGAGGACTGCAGTCCGAGTCTTTGTTGTTGGCGGACGCTCGATGCATCATCGCCTGCACCCCTTGCTTGGCCCACGAGCTATTATTTCTCTCGATTATTGTTGGAGTCTTGGCGTTGGTGGTAGTGGTGGTGTTGGTCGACGTGGGCTGCTTCGCCGTTTCTTGCTGCTGTTGCAGTTTTTTATGTTGGCTCTGCAGCATTTGCTGAGCTTGCTGCTGGAACTTCAGTCTGGCCTCGTAGATGTCTCGTAGGCTGTTGTATTCTCTCGATGATTTTGGTGGTTCTGTTTTATAAGTATATACCATTACGGGAGGGGTGAGTCTCGAGAGAACATCGCACGATCGGTATATAATAGAAAATGAGCTCGACTTACCATCGGGAACGTCCTCGCGGAAGCTGCGCTTACTCTTGAGCAGTATGTGGGTTGTCGAGCGTTCAAGCGAATCCACGTAAATCTCCGTGTTTGTATTGTCCCGTAGGCCCTTGTTATTGCTGTTGTTACAATTATTATTATTATTGTTATTAGCCACGAGCTGGTGCTTGGGCGGCTTGCGATCGAGCGTGTCGGGCTCGTACTCGGACTCGTCCTGCTTGGGATAGCTGCGCGGCGCGTCGACCAGCTTTATGGTGAGGTGGCCTGGATTCTCCGCCTCGTACTGTATCTCCGGTCCGGAGTCCTCCTCGGCGTCGCTGTCGGTCGGACTGGCGTAGCCGTCGTTCACGTAGACCTCGCTCACCAGGGCGTAGTTCTCCGGTCGCAGTGGTATCACTTCCGGTAGATTGTACTGCCGATTCGAGACAAAGAAAATCCGATTAGAAAATTTTCAATAATTACGAGAATTAAAAAAATATATTCGTTCAAGTGTACGTGGATCCTTACGCTTTTGACGACGTTACTTGTCGTTTCGCTGATCTGCACGTCGACGATCGTCCCGGAAGTCGTCTGTTGATAAGGTGGCGTCGGTGCTTCTGGCTCGTCGCCGCTCATCCTAATGGCAATTCTGTTGCTCTTTTCCAGACTGTCCGTCTCGAAATCGAAGCCGAGCTTTTTGTTGACGAGCTGCGAGGCTGCTACGCCGTTGCTCGTAGTTTTATCCTTGGCTATGGCCAATTCTTGAATGACGGCGTCCATCATGCGTTTGGCTTCGTTCTTCTTGCTCGGCTGTACCGAGTCGTTCGCCGCACTGATCGACGGGCGCGAATTATTCGCGTCTTTGAAGTAATCCGAACCCACGAATTTGTTTCTGGCGTTCAAAGTTTGCTGCTGTTGTTGCTGCAAGTCCATGGGATGCACGATCGACTTCCTCGCCACCTCCTTCAGAGTGATCTTTGGTTTGGCGCCGTTCTGTAGCTGCTCGAGCTGCGCCAGGAACGACCTCTCGATGGCCCGACGCACGTCGTCGTTGATCCTCGTGTTCTCGTCCTCGGGGCCGCTCGACCAGTCGTCGGCCGAGGCGCAGGAGCGTCGTCTCGCCAAGTACTTGGCCAAGCGCTTCGGGGTCTTGAGCTGTTCATGATGACGATGCTCGTTGACGATCGCGTGGCCGTTGCACAAACCACCGACCTTCTGACGACGATGCTGCCTCAACGACGAGTCCGCGGCGGCCTCGTCCAGCAGCAGCGGCAGAGATCTGCACGACCAGCTGGTGCTCTCGGTGTCCGGATCGCCGCGCGGACGCTTGCCGACGCGCCAGTCCAGGGTCTCGATGGCGGAGGAGCCGGGAACTCGACGCTGGTCCAGCGACTTGACGTTCTCGAGCCAGGCCCTGACGCGGCTCTCGCCCGAGTCGGCGTCGAGCAGCGGTAGATTCGGCGTGGACGAGCCGTGACTGCAGCCCGGACAGCCGCCGCAACCGTTGTTGCTGCCACTCGCGAGTCTCGAGGTCGGTCCCAGATTCTGCACGGAGTTGGCGCGGCGACGTCGGCTCAGGCCTCTCTGATCGGAACTGCTCGGCCGCTCCGACGACGATTCCTCGGGAATTTCTGCGGACATCGTTATCGATTGGCGTTTTATTTTGAGTAGATCAATATTACGCGATTAATTACGATAATCGTCTGACTTACCGTTCAACGTTGGAACGAATCTTTTGGCCACCATCTTGTGCTTGGCCACGGAGATGACTTCTCTAATTTTCAGCAAGAACTCGATGGCCGCGGGTGGCGGCGCCTTCAACAGCTGCTTCTCGAAGTAGGCCGGATTGAAGTAGAGCTTGCGCCTCTGCGTGGCCGGAAAGCCGGCGGCCTGCTGATTGTGCTGGCTGTACTGGTGATGCTGCTGCAGCTGCTGCGAGTTGGTCGCACCCTCGGACGTCGTCTCGACGATCCGGACGTTCTCCTCGGGCAGTCGCTCGCCGATGATCGAGCCGGAATTGTTGTTCTGCTCCTGCGGATCGATCGGCTCCTCCTCGTAACTTTCCTCGTGCTGTTGCTGATGTTGCTGCGATGGATGAACTATAGCCGCCGTCACCTGAAACTATGATAATAATAAGAATCCGATCAGGGATCATTTGAAGGAAAAAGAAAAAAAAGTTTGATTAAGAGAATTGTTTGTGGAACCAATAAGATTTTTTAACCTTTTTTTTTTGGTTCATAAACAGTTGATAAAAATTGAAAAATTTCATCTAGGCGTACTCTACAAGATTCAGAAAATATTGAGAAAGGATGACAGTTATTCTTGATAATTTTCAAGACATAAAACCAATTCTAAATACCACTTAAAATTCATGATTATTATCTGATCTGGCTTAAAATTATTATTTTTCAAGGTTACAATTGAGTTGTTAAAAATCATTGGTAAAGTTATTATAGCAGCATTTCAAGCAAAAATTTGACTACCTTTTTCATAACATCATTATTATTAAACTCTTGAAATTCGGAAGTCAAGAAAATTTGGAGCAAAAAATCTCTAACGCAGTATATGCAAAAACTTGTTAGTTTTTAAGCTTATTATTGGCGTATAATTATTATTGTTTTCGAAAATGCTCATATATTAACAATCTTTGATTATTCATATCTTTTTAAGTATACATAATTTATGTTTACTTAATTATACCATAAGAAAGCTAAAATCATTATATACAAGAAACATTCATCAAAATGATAGAAAATAGGTTTTATAACGTGTTTTTCTCGCTATAAATAATGTAGTATTTTGGGCTCCATTGACTCGGATTCGGATTAACGAGGTGCGCAACTAGGCCCACAATAATAATACCGTTTCGATACAGCTATTTGTAAGTATTTAATGTGTGCGATAAAAACAGTAATTCAATGAGCAAAGAAGAATATATCGAGTGGAGCAAACGGTCTCATACTTAAACCTTCACTTGGTTCCCTAGCTTTAGGGAACATGCTCAGCGCTCCGTGTCCACCTAACGGCCAAAGAAGAACGTAGGATTTCGGAGATAAATTCGAAAAAAAAGACTTGTAAATTGAACAAGTGATCTTCGTTCTCTCTTAACTATCTAATCAAACTAATAGATTGGTCAGGTATACTTCAAAGAGAATTTTGCGTCGCAAGAATTTCAGTGCTCTGGTAAGTTCTAGAGTTAATATTTCACTGGAATTCCGAAAGGAGTATCAATTATTATTTGAATTGAAATTGAATATGGCTTTGAACTTAGTTTTGAATTTCGAATTTTTTTTCTGAACCTTCGTATACAAGATGATAAAAATTAAGTTTTTCTTATGAATTAGTCCGTATTGTCCTTAAATGTCATATACATTTGTACATTAGAAATGCCTTAAAATAAGAACATTTTATAAACCATGTTTATGGCACTCAACTTTTTAAATATATCTAAAAGGATATATTTAGTATTTTATAATATATTTAGTAATTCAATCTAAAACATACTGGCACCTGCCGGAAAAACGTTCGAAATTGGGGCTACTGAAAAAGAGTGATGGACTACTTTAAAAAATCTTAAAAAATTCGTACATATTGTTTGGTTGTTTCAAAACATTTTTGCAAAAGGGGCTTCAAATTCTTGAAAATCTATGGGTTATCTATAGCCATACCCAACGAGAAGTGTCACTTGAAAATAACGTTAAAGCTCAGTTTGTATTTACTCACGTTGTCTGGCTCGGGCTCGCTGTGACGACGCAGCTGCATGAGTTTGTCGATGCGATCGTTCTCGATGCAGCTTATACCCACATTACCGATTTCGTAATGCCTGTGTTGATGTTGCTGCTGATGCTGCTGCTGCTGATGTTGATGCTGATGCAGCTGCTGCTGCAACTGCTGCGAAGAATGATGATGATGTCCGTTGCTGCTCTTCTGCAGCAAGTGAGTCGACGAGGCGCTCAGCAGCGAGGGCGAAGCGGCCGGCGACGAGGACGACTTGATGATCCGAGCCAGTGGATCGTACTCCGTGGGGCTGCGATGACCGCCGGCGTCGACCATCGACGGTCTGTTGCTCTCGACGTCGTGGCCGTGATGGTCAAGTCGATCTTTGGCGGGTCCGCGTCGCCGCTTGCTCCGCACGCGATATCGCAGATAAATCGTCGTGGCGATCACGTAGACCAGCGCCAGGGCCACCGAGGACACGGCGATCGCTATGTACTCGGAGCTCGACAAGCCCCGGGAATTCGTGGAGTCGTCGCCGCCGCTGCCGTTGCCGCCGCTGCCACCGCTCGAGAACGAGACCTCTTTGATTGCTGGAAAATCCCGCATCGTATAATCAATTTGCGAGGCTAAATTATCTCTTACGTCGCGCTTATAGAGTGGTGCCGACTGAAAGATTCATCGTTAGCGACTCGCGATTCATAGATGTTTTAAATATTATATTCGAGAGACAGAACATTATAGAGAGGTAACCGATCCCTACAACGACTATACTCTTGCACGCGAGGCTCTTTATAATTTGTGACCAAGCGCCGCCACGCTGCCTTTATTTTTACAATGCATAACGATCAATTAATGCGAGCTATAGCACACAGAAGCGCGTTCCGATTTAACGATCCTCTCTCTCTCTCTATAATGCGGTACACTTGAGATACGAGCGCGACACGTGTGCGTATGTATGCGCGCACTTGGAGTGTAAATAGTTAATACACAGGCAGCTGTTTTCATTCGAGATTTATGGTAAAACGATAAAAGTCTGTATGTATAGTACCGATTCGCTAGTAGAATCGTACGCCGTGCGATTGGCAAGGATCGAGAGCGTATTTGCCACCGATTTGCGTTGTCTATTAGGCGGCAGAGTTCAATTTTTTAGCAAAATGTAAAAAACCAGTCATGTGCAAAGGTCGAAAAGATTACGCATGTGACAAGAGTTGTAGTAAAATTCAAAGGCCAAACGCACCATTACTTGTACAATAAACTCTACTGATTCTCTTATGGGTAATGTAATGAGGCGTGCTCGCCATCTATCGGTCGCTTTGTAGCTATTCAACGTTGAGTTTGTATCATTTGTAGCGAGGCGTCTCGCTTTACGCCCCCAGCAAAGAAAATCGTCGTCTCGCTAATATACCGTTCGGTGCGTCGATCGAATATATCGTACGAACTTACTGTGTCGGGACGGAGATCCAGCGACTCGGAAGGTGACGCAGGGCGTAAAGACGCCCTGGATCTTCGGCGAGGGTTTGGAGTCGCGACAGGCCAGTTTCACCATCACGATCTTGCCCTCCGCCGTCTCTCGCAGTCTCTGCTCGCCGGTCCACTGCAAAATCAAATACCCAATCCGGAGATCGATGTTAGTTTCTCAAGTACGAATGATAGATAAGAAAAAAGTATTTACAGAAAAACGAGGTTCCGAGTTTCTTTTTTTTTTTTTAGAAAATCATGTATCACGCGCCTCGGCTGATCTTCGGTTCCGTCGTAGTACGTGTATAAATAAGTCGAAGTGCTAATGCGCGCATTGCCGCGATTTAATCCTCGCACACGCGCGAGAGCAGCAGCAAGTTGCTTGCGGATTTATTTACAGTAGGTGCACAAATCATCGAACGACTTATATCGAAAGAGGAACTGGACAAAACTTAGCGACCTAAAACTTGGACGTTTTTCTTCAAGGCTGCTAGTACACGTGCACCTGCATTAAAAAAAAAGGATCGAGTCCGTAATCCAAACGGTATGCGTTACGCGCGCAAATGTTCCGCGTATATCACTGTGTGCGATGCAGTCGTTAGAATTAATAATCTTTTTATAAACATCTCACGGAGAGCCGCGAGAAAATCAATCCCATGGCGTAAAGATAAATCTCGCGCGAGCGCGACACCACATACTTTGCTTGATTATTTATAAAGAAAGTGACGATAGTTATTCGGTCACTGCGCGTACGCGCCGCAACCTACATTTAATTGCCGTGCGTCGTTAGTTTTTTTGTATTTTGTTTGCATTTCCGAAGATCAGCTCGTTTACGTAGCGTAGAAATAGTATAGAAGCCAACGCAAGACTTACTTTGAGAAAAGTTCGCGCCTCGTCGCGATACAAGCTCAGCGGGAATTCCAGGCCGGATAGATTTTTCAGATCCGACCAGCCGGCGTGGCCTAGCTGCTGGACGCCCGTGACCACGCATAGCGGTGACTCCGCGCCTGGCCGTTGACAATGACAACATTAAAAAGCAAATCATGTGACATAAGTATTACGACGAATCGATGTCGAGATGACGAAGGTCGTGCTTTAATATACTCACCTGGAATGGTTATTTCCGCATGGGGATAGATGATCTGGCCGTACTGGGGCAGGAATACGTAGGGCACCTTCTCGACTAGGCCGGATGCGCTCGTGAAGCTGGCCGTCACCGTACACTCTGTTGAATTTAAAAAAATAAAAAATCATTATTGAACAGTTGGATCGAATACTGGAGACATTCGCTTACACATCGTCACAGAGAATGAACTCCTCGTGAATAGTAATATAGATGTATCGTATTATAATAATACGCATGAGAAAAATAAGAGAGAATTGCGCGTGCGGCATCTGCGGAGAGTCGTTTGAGTTTCAGGGCGCTAACGTCTTACACATAAACCTGCATCTTTCTCTGGTCTGACGCCGTGCCGAAGCGCCCATACATGTATAGTACATGGCATTTATATAAACGCGTGCAATTTTCTCTCCTTAAAATCTCAAAGCTCGCGGAGATCGTCGTAATTATCTTTAATAATGGGCCCTATGTGTACGTGCAGTGTCCGCGAGCGCACGTGCTCTGCTCTGTGCTATGTGCACAAGTAAATCGTAATATCATAATATAGTATAATTCGTATATATAAAATCTTGACTTCGAGAGATCGAGAAATGAGAGAGGGGAAGAGTGAGAGGATTAAAAAAAGGATACGTGCGAGTATGCGTTACACGTGGCTGCTTGTATTACGACTGGCGAGCAACATTTTTGAACTCTTTCCAGACTCGAATAATGCGAGGATAATTGCACGACTGCGAGAACATTTTTTTCGACTGGCGACACCTTGTTTACAGAGGTGGACTGAAAAAAATTGCTACTCCCATGCAAATAGCTTCTTGCTGCTCAATTGAAGCAGTTTATTTTTGAAAACTCGGAAAATTAAAATTGAAGCATAATCAAAATAAGATTGTGGAAAGTACTAAGAAAAGTGACACTTTTCACGTTGATTTTATCAATAAAAGTTATTTCACGTCTCTTGGCAAAAATAATCAGTGTCCGCCCGCAAATTTATCCAAATCTTTCAATAGGCCGCGTTTTATCAATTTAGTGTTGTGTATCATTACACGACGTTTATAAAAAGTCCAGTACTTAACTAAACGCTCGTTCCATTCACAGTTCCAAACAAGATTTGAAAAAAATTCCGTTATATCTTCTATAATGAAAAAAAGAAGGAATAATCGAATACGTATAATTTTGTAAAAATGGTCCGATTGATAATTTCTGAGAATTTCATGGACTGCTTTTTGGTGTTAACTTGAATTCTATGTAAGTACACAAAATCTCAATGATCTTGGTGGACCGTGATTTGATGCTTTGAAAAATCTAACTTATTTCCAAATTTCCTCTTGCATTTGTCGCTTGAATGATCTTGATGAATCTCATGGACTATCCATTGGTGCCTCGATAGATCTGATTTACGTCTAAATTTCTGTTCGCACTTGTCACATGTGAAATCCTTGCGACCCTCATGTTCCGCATTTTGGTGTCTGAACAAGCCCGTTTTTTGTCCAAATTTCTGATTGCACTTGTGGCATGCGTAATCTTTGCGACCTTCGTGAACTGTCTTTTGGTGTCGGAGCAAATTCGATTTATCTCCAAATTTCTTCTCACATTCATTGCATGGATAATTTTTGCGACCTTCATGGATTGTTGTTTGGTGTTTTATCAAATTTGATTTCGTTCCAAATTTCTTCTCGCACTTATCACATACGAAATCGTTGCGACCTTCATGAACTGTTTTTTTGTGCATTAGCAAATGCGATATTCGTGCAAATTTTTTCTCGCAATTGTCGCATGCATAATCTTTGCGACCTTCATGAATTGATTTTTGGTGTACGAACAAATCTGATTTTCTTCCAAATTTTTTCTGGCATTTATCGCATGCATAATCTTTGCAACCTTTATGAACTGTCTTTTGGTGTCGGAGCAATTGCGATTTATCTCCAAATTTCTTCTCACATTCATTGCATGGATAATCTTTGCGACTTTCGTGTATTGTCCTTTGATGCTTCAACATATCTTTTTTATGTCTAAAATTCTTCTCGCACTTGTCACAAACATAATCTTTACGGCCTTCATGGACTATTTTTTGGTGTCTTATTAAATTGCTTCGATCCCCAAATTTCTTCTCGCATTTGTCGCATGCGAAATCTTTGCGACCCTCATGGATTACCCTTCGGTGAATGAGCAAATGCACTTTATGTCCAAATTTTTTCTCGCACTTGTCACATGCGTAATCTTTTCGACCATCATGGACCGTCTTTTGGTGGATGACCAAAGTCCATTTGTGTACAAATTTCTTCTCGCACTTGTCACATATGAAATCTTTCCGGCCTTCGTGGACTGTCTTTTGGTGCTTTAACAAATCCGATTTTTGTCCAAATCTCTTCGCGCACCGTTCACATGAGTAATCTTTGAAAACTTCGTGGAATATCTTATTGTGTTTGAGTAAAGTTAATTTACTTTCAAATTTCTTCTCGCAATTGTTGCATGTGAAACTTTCGCGATTTTTATGTACTAATTTTTGATGCGTAAATAAACTCGATTTTTTAACAAATTTCTTTTCGCACTGGTCGCATGAAAAATCTTTGCGGCTTTTGTGTTCTGATATTTGGTGTCTACTCAAATGACTTCGAAACTCAAATTTCTCTTCACACTTGTCGCATGCGAAATCTGTTTTTATATTGTGAATCGTGTCTCGGTGTATTATCATGCTTGATTCTAGTGTAAATGCCTCCTGACAAACAGCACAAACGTATTTTTCGTTGTTTGAAACAACAATGTCGTGTTCATTCGAGTTATCTTTTGAAACGATTTCCTCGGATTTCTTTTCACTTTTATTCATTTTGGTGCCTAAATCAAACGATTGATCAATCTATTAAGTGTCACGGAATTTGAATGAGTGAAATTTTGCTTTGGTAATTATAGCTTGTTTCATCGGGAAGGACAATATTCAAACTAATTTATTTTTACTATAAACATGATCAATGTGTTGTCGAAAGACGATGTCAAAATTGTTTATGATCACATTGTTTACAATTAAGTTACCGAGGGCTTTGTTTATACATTCTCCTTCTAAAACTAAATATTCTTCAAAAAAGCTTCTTGTATAATATCGAGTCAATGAATCAATTCAATATATCATAAATTAATAAAAAATTTTTATATTCATTCCAACATTTGCCGCCCCGACGACATGGTGTGATTGGCGTGCTCCGTAATCGGCCACCACTAATTGTTTACCCACATTATCCTCGTAAATTTGTTGCCTCAATGGTGCGTTAATATAAGATTTCAGATTCCTCGTGAGATTTCGTCGATAAATGTAATAAACAATTGGCACATGTTTATACTCGCGTGCGGCAGTGCCTAATTCGTATACATGTGTAAAGGTCGTAAAGCGATGCACAGCTTAGTCGATGCTCGCGTGCGCGCCATCGATTCTGCGAGGATTTAAGTCGTCTCTCTCTCTCTCTCACTCGAACTTCTTGCACGTGTCAAGATTCATGACTCGTTTTGCGTATCTCTCTTTCCCTCTTTTTCTCCATTATAATTCACGTTTTTTTCTTCCCCTTTTGTAAATTCACCCGCGCACGCGGTTCGCCACACCACCGTTACGTTACATCCCATTGAGAAGCACGCGAGTGACCTTCTCACGCGTAGCAGGAATTCACGCCGGCGATGCGTGCAATTGCCGATAGTGCGAGCTGGGTCGACGATCGAAGGGAAAAAGCAGTTTATTTATATGCGAATTCATCGTAGCATATTCGCGCGTCTTTACGTATACGAGACTCGCGCTGCGATTTTCCATATCTGTGAATCGCGAATGGACCCCGGAATATGCCGTACGCTCGAGGAGTGCGCAATCACGCATCACCGGTGCAATGTTAAATTAAATCCAATCCGATAAAGTCATTAATTCGATCGGTTACATCCGAATGTAATTGAATCGGCAGCGCAGCAAGAGAGAGAGAGAAAGAGCGAAAGGAAGAAAAGCTATGTAATGTAGTAGGCACGCGAGTCTTTTCATGCCGCGCGTGAATGAAGCAATTATAACCATGAGCGCCGATGATATCTGTTTGTACAGGCAATGATGATTATACCAGCTTGTAATTTGTTTGTATAATTTCATCGGAACGTGAAAGTCTGTAATACCGATTGTTCGTTTATACATCTTTATATCTACAAGACGCCAGGCCAAATCATTCCTGATCGAGGCACGAGCATATCCGTAATAATATACACACAAATCGTAAGTTCTGCATACAGGGAGCAAAAGAGGCGATTGAAAACTCTCGAGATAAGTGACGATAAACTATTACATCACAAGTATAACAATGACATCGACACAGAACCATCGAATTTCTTAATTCGAAAATCGGACAACCTGTCCGAAATATTCAGAATTATCTATATAATGTCGAGATTTTAATCAATCGCTTTGATAAAACGCGCAGATAAATGCCTGTATATAATAACTCTTCGAGGTATATGCTCGTCAATAATTATGAAGTCGAAGTTCTTGTGTTTTTAGTCGAAAAATCGTCTCTACGAAGTCCGCCATCGCCGCTGTCACAATCGTCGTCGTCGTTGTCGTCGTCTCCGGTACACGAAGAAATTTAGCATTGCAATTGCGTTGCTACCCCCTTGAAAGTGTCGTGTATCAAGCAGCGATGGCGGATAGCCGCAGCAAACCAGCAGCAGCATCAGCAGCAGTTCAGGAGGCGGAGGAGTTCGGCGAGAAGCCCGTGTCGATGAAGTGCCCGCTCTGTCACGAGAACATCGTAACGCAGGTCGATAAGGTGGCGACTTGCAAGTACGCGCTGCTGGCCACACTCTCTTGTCTCCTTTGGTAAGTTTAGCTATGTAAGCTCACGAATGCGTACATGTAAAAATAACAAGAGATAAGGAAACGCCGATTGTGTCGTTTAAAGTTATCGTTTCGCGCGATTATCTCTATCTCTCTCTCTTTTTGGCTCGCAGCGTTTGGGTATGCTGCCTGCAGAATCTGCTGCTCTGCCGCGGCATGATGGTGAACGAGCACACCTGCCCCATGTGCAAGGAGGTCATAGCCGTGGTGCCGGCCGAGCCCGTGCCGATGCGCGAAGTCTGCGACGACGTGCTAGTGGATTGTTTCTAGGTTGTCGATAAGCAGCATCCCCAAACAAACGAAGTGAGTGCAACAATCAATGCTCTTATGACGAATACACTCTTCAAAGATTTGCATTTTATTCAGATAAAAGTTATTATGAAAAAGTTCGATTCTTGGAAAATGTTTTTTTTTCACAATTTATTAAAAACAAATTACTGAATCAACAACAGTTTATTTGGATCAATTAATCATTTTTTTTAATTAAAAAAATATTTATTCAATCCAACTAAATGTTAATTTTAATCAGTTATGTATATGATGGACATGAAGTTTGATATAAAAAATATTATTAAATAATTAATAATAATTATAATTATTCATTCGTTTGCAAGAACCAAATGTATCGTTAGTTCAATTAAGTGACATTATATTTGCGGAAAAATATTTGGAACGAAAAGAAAAAGTATTGAATGAGTCGATCGAAATATTTTTGAGTGAAGCAAGTACTCTTGTTATAAAAATTTCTAGTTTCGATCAATTACCTAGATGGCGTATTTCGCACCTCTAAGCAGTAAAACATTGTTTGTACTGGTTTAAGTCCGGATTATAGCGGCTCACATAAGGTGCAGGTCACTCGCACGACGAATCGTCCAAGTTCGTACTGCGTTCGTTAGAGAACTTATCATTCGGATAATTGAGTCACTGCGTGTATAGTGGCTCAATAAGAAAATAAACAGCTCGCGCGCATTGATTTACGAGCGTGCGCGCCCTCGCGGGCTTACCGGTTTCCAAAGAGACGGTTTTATTCGCTGATCGCGGATCGCCTCGTTTGCCTATCTTCGACGAAAAAAAAAATATCTTTTCTAATAGCCAATAATATTATATACGCGCAGGTGCTTCGCGGCCAGCACTGCTACTGCCGTGTACATAGGTACTTCTAACTAGATAATATAATCTGTATTAAAATTCTTTGACGACTTTCATTGGGGATCTGATAAGACATTTATACGTATGAAAGAAGTGGCGTTGCGTCATTCCTTCTAGCACGACCACTACTGCCACTGCCGCTGCTGATGCTGCTGTTGCTGCTGCAGTTTCACTTTTACGATTTTCCTCGCTTCAGCGAGTTGATGACTATTTAATTGCCACCGATACTGCTCGTCAAGAGTATGGGTTTTCACGTTGCGGGGATCGGCAACTGCATCGTATAAACAGCCGTCAATGACCGATCGATATAATTGTTTATTTTGTGACACGGCGCGCACGTTTTCAAAATTACGGTTTCATCGAGCGTAAAAGCAAGAAAAAAAAAGGATCGAACATCCCGCAAGACGACTGCGTACCAATATTTGCAAAGCGAGGCACCTAAGCGCGAATACGAGAATTTTCTCACGTTGAGCTGCGCGTAGCCTCACGGGTGCATCATCACCACATGTAGTATATATTAGCAGCGGCGGCGCGCGGCCAGTGCACCGATGCACACACAGCATATAATACAAGAGAGTTAAATTTGCCCAGTCATGCGCCAGCTGCTTCTCGCGAGCGCATCTCTCAACCTTTATGCACTTGCTGCTCTGGCAGGTATATAGCAGCGCAGCGTATGAGGTAACAGCAGCGGCAGCAGCAGTAGCCGAAGCAGGAAAAATGTACGAGGATGAGATTTATATGCGTATCGTACCGGCTACGTACTCTGAAATAAGGAATTATAAAGTGCTTTGCACACAGAATTCTGCGCGGTGCGCTGTATATCTGCAAGAAAATGCATCGATATTTGAGCTTGTACTTGGATGATGTTGACGACGAGCAAGTTTTGAATATTACTTGTAAATAACTTCGTTTTACAGAGCGTTGAATTCTATAAATAATATTTGCGGCTATTTGTCTATTCGTCTTGGGGCAGACGATCCAACGCCCGATCGCGAGATATATCCCTTGCTACCTGTGTCCGACTCAATTCTCATCGCTTATGTAGGATATAAGCTACCGGCAACAGCAAATCGGCACGTCTCGAACCTCGATCGACCGCTGTTTACGCACGTAAGCATGAACGAGCTCCTAGTCGATATTATATACTTATACCCCTATCAAGTACACGGTTCATTTTATTTCAACAGTCAATTTTCAGGATCGTTACTATTAGTGCGCCGTGGAATTTGATCACGCATCTTCGGAATAGCAGCATAACGCGCCGGTTATTTATTCCGACTCGTCGTCGTCGTACGCTTCGATCGATTTTTAAGTTAATTAACGCTCGAACATCGTAAAAGTTGTTATTCAGCTTGTATATGGAGATGGTATGTGTCTATTTGGCGATGTTTTTAATGCATAATATTAATGGTTGCAGGAAAAAAAAAGATGTCGCGCGACTCTGGCCGTGCGCGAGTACGTGTGCGCGAGATAGGAAACATAACTCAGCATTTCGATATTGATCATTCGCGAGCTCGTGGAAATAAAATTCTTTATGCCTGGGCGTACAGGGGGATGCTCGTGGAATGTCTCGTTACAACCGATTTCGATCGTTGTAGGCTGTCCCGATGGACGTTTTTTTTTATACATAAAATTTCTTTCCGCGCGTTGGGTACGAGGAGTTAAGCCGTAATAAGCGAACGCGAGAAACATAGAAATATAGATTGAGGCAAAATTTCCTTTCAAGAATAATATTTTTGTCTTCTGTGTTTACAATGATAATATGCATCTGACTGCTTTTACATGGATCCAGTGTCGGGTCCAGTGTCAATCTCGCCTTGGTGTGGAGGTGGCAAAGGTTGGAATGAATATTAAATTTTTTTGTTACGAATTGATCGTATTCTAGCTGTCATCGCTTGAAAGCTCATTTTTTGGTTACAATTAAGAACACCACTGTCCGATCTTGATAGGTAGACTCTAGATAGTGCCATCAGCCTCAACTTTTTTTCCCATTTGAAAAGATAAGTCTAATGTATAAGGTCTATGTACTGGATATTTTTTGTGTGAACTCGATGTTGTCTGTCGAAAAATCTATGCATCTTACTTAGTTTGAGAAGACACAATAAATTGCGCCCAGAAATCGCCGCAAACTTAGAATTTTAAATTGTTTTCAATGTTGTAAGAACAATGTACAAACAGAAAAATCAATACTTGCTTGTGAACAATACAATCATAAACGATATTGACATCGTCCCTCGAACACTGATTGTGCTTATAGTACAATTAAATTAGTTTCAATATTGACTTTCTCGATGAAACAAGTTATATAACACCAAAAGATAGATTTCATTCGTTAAATTGTCGTGATACTAAATAAAAGGATCCGCCGTTTAATTTAGGCACCAAAATGGATAAAAGTGAGGAAAAATCCGGAGAAGTTATCTCTAAAGATCATTTAAGGGACAACGACATTGTTGTTTCAGACAACAAACAATACTTTTTTGACTTTTCTCAGAAGGCACTTATTGCACAAGAATCAAGCTTGATAACACACCAAGACACAATTCAAAATGAACCGAAAAATTATAATTGCGACAAGTGCGAAAAAAAATTTGAGTTCCGAAGTCATCTGAGTAGACACCAAATATCAGTACACAAAGGCCACAAAGATTTTGCATGCGACAATTGTGAGAAGAAATTTGTAAAAAAATCAAGTTTGATGACGCACCAGAAATTAGTACATAAAGATGGCAAAAATTTCACTTGCAACAAGTGCGAGAGAAAATTTGAAAATAAATCAACTTTATTCAAGCACCAAAAAATATTCCACGAAGTCTTCAAAGATTACTTGTGTGAAAAGTGCGCTAAGAGATTCGGAAATAAACAAAGATTGCTCTTGCACATAACAACAGTTCATGAGCGCTTCAAAAATTTTACATGTGACAAGTGCGAGGAGATATTTACAAAAAAATTAAATTGGCTCTTTCACCTGAAGACAACACACGAAAGTACAAAAGATAACTTGTATGACAATTGCGGGGAAAAATTTGGAAGAAAAGCGGATTTGATAAAGCACCAAAAGACAGTCCACGAAGGCCGGAAAGATTTCACATGTGACAAGTGCGAGAAAAAATTTGGAAGAAAAACATATTTGCTTATCCATCAAAGGACAGTCCACGAGGGTCGCAAAGATTACGCCTGCGACAATTGCGAGAAAAAATTCGGACAAAAATCGAGTTTGCTGTTCCACCAAAGGACAGTACACGTAGGTAGTAAAGATTTTGAATGTGACAAGTGCGAGAAGAAATTTGGATTAAAATGTAATTTACTCCACCACCAAAAAACAGTCCACGAAAGTCGCAAAGATTACGCATGTGACAAGTGCGAGAAAAAATTTGGAAGAAAAGCATATTTGCTTATCCATCAAAGGACAGTCCACGAGGGTCGCAAAGATTACGCCTGCGACAAGTGCGAGAAGAAATTTGGGAGTAAATCGTATTTGCTCCGACACCAAAAGACAATTCACGAAGGCCGAAAAGATTTTACATGTGACAAGTGCGAAAGAAAATATGGAACAAAATTGATATTAATTAGACACCAAAAGACAGTACATAAAGATCGCAAAGATTACCTATGTGACAAGTGCACGAGTAAATTTGCGCGAAAATCGTATCTGCTCATTCACCAAAGAACAGTACATGATAGATGCAGAGATTTCGCATGTGACAAGTGCGAAAAAAAATTTGGATTAAAATCGAAGCTGCTAATACACCAAAAGGCAGTGCATGAAGGTCGCAAAGATTTTGCTTGCGATAAGTGTCAAACGAAATTCGGGGATCAAAGTAATTTATTAAGGCACCAAAAGACAGTTCATGAAAATCAAAAAGATCACGTATGTGACAATTGCGAAAAAAAATTTGGATAAAAAACGAATTTGCTTATCCATCAAAGGACAGTCCATGAAGGTCACAAAGATTACACATTAGGGTGGTTCGCTTTTGCAAAAATGTTCAAAATCGCGCATACGTCATGGCGATTCTGAAAGTTCAAGTCTTTACGAAAAGAAAGCCGGGTTCAGAACCTAAAAAAAGTGTCGGGAACCGGTGTCGATCGATTTTTGAAGTTTAAAAACGTGGTCCAAAATAGGAGCAAAATCGGTCAACCATTCAATTTATTTCAAACTGTGTTTCGAGAGTAAAAATAATATCGACAATACATTTTCTTACGTATTTTTGTCTGTAGAATCGAATGCCGTAGTCAGTTTTGCTCTACGACTTCGTTTTCATCGATAAAAATGTACTTTTTTGATTTTTTTTTCGCTTAAAAATCCAAAAATCGACTTTGCAACGTTTAAAAATGAACAGAAAAAATCTTCGAAAATTTTTGACACTACCAAAATTTAGGATTTTTTGTGACGAATCCAACCGTATAAATTAGTATATGCTTTAAAATTATTTTCATTCATAAAAATGCAAATTTTCGATTTTTTTTGGCTGAATTTGACGAAAAATCTCGAAAACGAGCCCTTTTTGAGAGAAAGTGCTCTTAAAAAATCCCGCTGCAGCATTTTTTTTGTATTTTTTGCTGTAAAATTGAATGACGTTGTGATTTTGGTCCTAAAACATCGTTTTAGAAAAAAACGATTTTTTTTCGAAAACATCTCGTTTTCGAGATTTTTCGTCAAATTCAGCCAAAAAAAATCGAAAATTTGCATTTTTATGAATGAAAATAATTTTAAAGCATATACTAATTTATACGGTTGGATTCGTCACAAAAAATCCTAAATTTTGGTAGTGTCAAAAATTTTCGAAGATTTTTTCTGTTCATTTTTAAACGTTGCAAAGTCGATTTTTGGATTTTTAAGCGAAAAAAAAATCAAAAAAGTACATTTTTATCGATGAAAACGAAGTCGTAGAGCAAAACTGACTACGGCATTCGATTCTACAGACAAAAATACGTAAGAAAATGTATTGTCGATATTATTTTTACTCTCGAAACACAGTTTGAAATAAATTGAATGGTTGACCGATTTTGCTCCTATTTTGGACCACGTTTTTAAACTTCAAAAATCGATCGACACCGGTTCCCGACACTTTTTTTAGGTTCTGAACCCGGCTTTCTTTTCGTAAAGACTTGAACTTTCAGAATCGCCATGACGTATGCGCGATTTTGAACATTTTTGCAAAAGCGAACCACCCTATTACACATGCGACAATTGCAAGAAGAAATTTGGACGCAAATGGCATTTGCTCATACACCAAAAGACAGTCCACGAAAATTGTAAAGATTACTCTTGTGACAAGTGCGAAAAGAAATTTGGAAAAAAGTCAGATTTGATAAGACATCAAACCATAGTTCATGAAGGTCATAAAGATTACGCATGCGACAAGTGCAAAAAGAAATTTGGACGAAAGCCGGATTTATTAAAGCACCAAAAGATAGTCCACGAAAGTTGTAAAGATTACTTTTGTGACAAGTGCGAAAAGAAATTTGGAAAAAAGTCAGATTTGATAAGACATCAAACCACAGTTCATGAAGGTCGTAAGGATTTCGTATGCGACAAATGCGAGAAAAAATTTGGACAAAAAACCACTTTGCTTAAGCACCAAAGAACAGTTCACAACTGTTCCAAAGATCATGCATTCGACAATTGCGAGCAAAATTTGGAAAAAAATCGGTATTGATCAAACACCAAAAAATAGTACACGAACTTTGCAAAGATTTTGCATGCGACAATTGTGAGGAGAAATGATGATCACAATTGTGAATGTTTATAGATATTTAAAAATATGTTTGTCTAAACTTTCAATAAAAATGTGCCGAAATTATTGTGTATCTCTTGAATTTCGGGCGCCCAATTATTATTACATCTTCGTTCCCTGTCGTGGTGGTACTTTACTGTTAAACTGAAGAAATTTCGCAAACTACTAATTACTATAGTCTTCGTATATTTTTTGGCTACTTAGTTTCTGCAACTATTTATGTAACAATTAGATCAGTCGAAAGTTTTTTTTATGTCTTATTTGGAGTTCCGATAGTGTCAAATTTTTATTTGGACACTGGATGTTTGATAAATCTCATTCGATGTTGTGCTGAATTGATCAAACATGTACAAGGGATAAATTTTGATGAACTTGCTGAAAAACTAATTTTCATTATTATTATTATTATTATTATTTATTTACCATAAAAAAACCCTGCATGTGCAAACAGTGCACAGCAAAAGTCTTACAGGAGGCATAAAGCCCGTAAATAGGTTAGTAGTCGAATCTCTATAATTAATTCTACTAATTATTTCTGCTAAGAGAGATGTGATCGGTAATAAATGATAACAATAAGTTCTTGTTAAAAAAAAATAGCTAGGATCGAAAGAATTTTTCCGGTGCAGGGCAATGGATCCTTTCTTGGAACTGTACGCGTTACCAGCTGTTGAATTATTCATAAACCAAGATTTATATCACAATTTATTGGCGATAGCAGGCCAAAATGCATGATGTCGATAAGTATATTTGTCGAATTTATTTATGTCTGGTATTATTTAATGTTGCAGGCTCTTTATGTCATTCGCAAATAAATAAAATTGAAATAAAATTGAAATAATCAATTTGCAAGGGTTTTTATTTTTCTCCTTTAATTTTATTTTAGTTTTATTTACACCAAAATCGAAAAGAAGTTTCAAATCTAGCAGCTGTTTTTACACATCAATCGGAACCACGCGTGAAACGTGTTTACAATTTTTGAGATTTTTAATTTGAAAGTACCTTTACCATATGAAAACTGAATCGACAGCGATTCAAATTCTCAGGACCAAAGAGAAAATAAACAATAATTTATTACGTTTAATAATTTATATATATTCTCGCCACGATTTTCAATTTTGCCGCGACTCTCGCATAGATGGCATTTTGACATTTTGCCTCTACGCCAGTTTGTCATGTAGTAGTCTGCTACAGCGCAGAGACTGCTGTCTTGCGAGCTGCGGCTTTTTGAAGCTTTGTTGTTCACATTACCCTATTCAATTAATAATTCCTGTTCAAAGTGAGTGCACGCAGTATTTATTTACCATAATACATTACGTTAGTCATGATGACGATGTCACTCTAATCAATGCTATCGACATCCTACTTTTATTAATTTACAACCATAACCTCTCCATGTTTCTTAATGGAAATCAATAAAAAACAAATAAGCCTCTTTTTCTGTAGAGTCAACAGTTATTTATTAATAATTGTTCATTATTGTAAAACAATTTTACAATAAATAATCTCTTCAAAATATATTCATTAACTATTTTGTATGACTCTTTTTACAGATGGGCATTCGACATGCTTATTTCATGTCTAGAACTGTCTTGGTCAAGAACAATGACGTTGAACATGCGACTAGAGTTTTGAACAGAATACTTGGCAAAGAAGAAATTTTGGATCAATTCAGACGAACAAGATACTATGAAAAACCAACACAAGTCAGAAGAAGGATCAACTACGAAAGATGCAAAGCAATATATGATGAAGATATGAATCGCAGAATTCAATTTTTAATGAGAACCAATCGAGTTGAAGCTTTCCCAGGCAATATGTAAACTTTCTTACTTTACTACGTAAATTGTAAATATATTCTTCTTTCATAGTTAATAGTAGTAAAGATATGGATTCTGAATAAAAAAATTGTTATTCAATTGAACTCAATCCAAGCATGGTTTTCATTTGAAAAATCACTTTTTGAATAAGTTAGTTATTATTATAATATGAACTTACCATTGATATGATCCACACAAATACGTAAGTCCTCTCGAAAAATAGGAAGACCATTATTGCATTGACAAGTGCAAGAGTCATAGGTGATACTGGCATCTACTGCAGGAGTGGGATCAGAAGTGTACGGACTAGCAGTGTTGCTGCTTAGAAACATGCAAGCTTCGAAGCAAGAGCCTGTAACATCAATTATAAATCAAATGATACAAAGTTATTGAAAATTTCAAGTCTTGCATGAAAATATGTTCTCAATTACTGCAATTATAGTTATACATAATAACTTTCTTTGTTCTCTATTACTGTAATCAAGGTTACACATAATAACTTGAAAAATAACTACAGCCATTGAGTCTTCTATATTGTAATGTTAATAATTTTTTCTTACCTGGAGTAGTAAAAATATCTCCATCGGTAAGCCGGGTCAGAGTAATTTCGTCGGCAAAATTCATGCGCCATATTATGATTTGACAGCTTAAAAATAAACTCCATGTAGATAACTGCATCTTCTCAGCATTCTGAACGGTCAATTAAGCATAGGTTCCAGGTTGCAATACAGACGGTGTTGTTTTTTTCGTGAGCACTTTTCCACTAACTTTTTTCCATGTTGTACTCAAATCTGTCAATTAAAACAGTGTCGATTAATTTTATAATTCATCAATTACAAATTTTTCGATTTTCTATATTAAGATAAATATTAAGTCCATTTCCGAATTAATTTGCCAGAAATTCGATAAAACCAAACCCGGACTTCTTTTAATATCCAAAGAATATGCAAAAAATGCGCACCAACGCAGTCGTCATTAGCGTTTACTCCGAAAATATCACGGGCACTCGTTAAATTTTTGTTTCCTCACCAATCCCCTCGTTCGCTTCGAGATCGGCTTGTATAGCTCGTGTTCGATCGAAACGCGATTATAAAGGTGTATGCGCGTATACGGTAAAAGGCGTCTCGCGTACACGATATTATTTACATAATACGAAATGTGTAATACCACCCCTGAGTGCACTTGCGGCAGGCCGCGACGAAAAACACGTCGCAAAAAAAACGTCAGCATCAGCAGCAACACGTGTGTGTGCGTGCGTATACGTGCAATAATAACTAATGAGCGCGTCGAGGCTAAATATGTAACGTTTGCTTTTTATCGTATTTGCCGCGCGCGCAACTATATAAAATAATGCGTAATGTATAATATTGTGTGCTGTATAGTGTATACATGTACGCGGCACACGGCGCTATATGGTGTAAAGCGAAAAGTCTGCAGCGAGAGCGAGTGCATATAATACACGCAGACACGCGCGAGCAGTGAGTCGCTTTTGCGTTTCACCGCTAATCGCGTTTGCGGTTTACTCTCCAGGCCTCTGCGTGTTTGTACACTTATTACGAGGCGCATGCCCGCAAATAGATAAACTTCGGAAACGATCGTCAAACGCGAGGATCAAAATCATGCGCGAGGGGATATCGAAGTTGTATTTTATGTACTTGATCATATAATATCGTATATATATGGTGACCAATGATTTTCTTATCCTCCGCGATTGATCGTTTATTTTCGTATCACATCGCTATTATTCTGGATCAAAGAGGACATCTATTTCATCATTATCCCTCGCATCTCACTAATGAATATAAATAAATTTAGGTATTATTATTTATCCTTGCTCGAGTCCTGCCTTTCGCACCTTATACTCGCGTGCAAGTTTCTACTTTTAAAGCCACATTTTACGACAAATTGAAACATGCTTATCGAAGATTTGCGGCGGCAGAGCTTTGGACCAATTTATAATAGAGACAATTTAATGAAATAGTCCAATAAGTTATCTTCGCATAAATAAAATCAAGGATCCAATTGGCATGTGATAAGTCGAATCGTCGCGACTTTGCTGCTAAATATAATAAAAATCACTCGGAGATAAGGCGCTCAATAGGTGAGCTGCTGCAATCAAGCCGTTTACAGTTTCGGACGCGTATTTTCCCCCAAATAAAAACGCATTAAAATTTAATCGACATAGGCCGTAAAAGTACGAGCCGGGGAAAGAATCGATGGAATATAAGGCGTAACGAAAATGCCAATAAAAACTTCTTCTTTTTTTCCTCGCTCCGGCTCTTGCTCCGGCTCGTTTCGGGATGAGCCGCGCGCGAGTAAACAAGCCGCGCGCCACGTTGTTTGTCAACCGATCGAGCGATATATTTATCGATAATTAAATCGTTGCTCCTTTTTTTGTTGTTAATATACCTGTCAATGAGCTGCGACGACAACAACAACAACAACAACAAACGCCAAATCGTAAAATCGGTAAAAGCTCGATCCAGCGCTTGCATGACAAATCGCTCAAGAGAAACAAAGTGCAGCTACACACACACACACACACACACACATGAGTCATGACACTCGCAAAAGATCGAAATTGCTGCCTTCGAAGGCAGTTTTGTCTATTACAAGCTATGCATTATTACACAGGTGGCAGCGCACATGCTCCGTAGTAGTATGCGTATACGTCGCTCACCGGCAATTGTAGCTACCGCACACTGTATACACATCGCGGAGCAACTGCTAGCTGCGGACGATAATGTGTGCTCTCGCGGATGCTGCCGATGCACTCGTGGACTGACGTATACTGCACACCTGCCGCTCGCCATACGCTCACGCGGCCGGTCTATAACTCTATAAAGATCACCACGACCACCGCACGAGGTGCTCCCCCTCTCGATGTATTAGAGTGCCGATTTGATGGATCGTCAGCAGCGGATAAACAAATCTGCTCCGTTTGAAAGTATCGAATCGTATCGAATAGTTTGCATACTAACTTTAGGTCGATCTTTTCCTTGTATACGGAGCGCCAGACTATGTGTTTATTTACGCTGCGCACGAGAGGAACTGCATGTAGCCTCGCACAGAATTATTATTGTTGCATTTTATGTCCTCGTATACGAGATCATCTTCAATCGCTCGATATCCTCTTTACCGGTTTCTTCCTTTCTTTCCTCCTCTTTCCTTCTCTTACTCTCGCCACTGTCGCTGAGCAATTATTATGTCTCTCACCGCCCCTTGCCTCCGATATCTTGCTCGCTTTCGTCGATCGCACTTTTATTGTGGCTTCATTTGCCTTTGACGCGGCTCCGAATTCGAGTCCCCCTTATTTTCATTCACTGATCGCACACGCGCGACACACGAGACCTGTTGCTGCTGCTCCCGCGCTAATTAGCCGTAATCGCCACGTTTTTTTTATAGGAGGCCGTCGCCTCGCTCGAATTCTTCGCTTCTGCGCATGGACTTTATATTATATTAATTAAATCATTTCGTCGTTATAACTGGGCCCCGTGCAGTACTTGTATAATAGTCCCGTATGTAATATCGTTGCTGCTCACTCCCTCGTCTCGCTCCTTGTTATTATATATTAATATTAAATTCATAATTTGCTTAATCGACCCATCGACTCGTGTGTACATCAATATATAATAAAATCCCCATACTCGTCGCGGGACGCTAAGTTTTTACAATATACATGTTTATTTCACAAACGAGCCGCCTCCTTTTAACGGTACACTCGTTCCTCTCTCTCTCTTTCTCGGCGATGTATGCACTTTATATTTTTTTTCTTTGATCATATAATTGAGTCGTCGGTTTTCGATCGAATCGATCGATTCACGACAGCGATTGACACATGTTTTTCGGTCAATAATTATATGCGGAACGAAAATAAAATTCGAGTAATTTAAAGAGCGCCGCGCGAGCAGGATTATATTCAATGGGCCTTTACACGTACAGATACAGGATCGGCGCGTGGCTGTACCGAAGCCTGCACACACACACATATATGCCTACGCAGAGGGGAAAGCAGCAAAGGTATGTATCTTACGTTCCGCATTTGCGATATGATGTATATCCACTCACATACACAAGTGTATAGCTGCGGAAGAGAGTCACGCGCGACTCTCGGCGTCGCGGAAGGATAAGGAGAGGATAATATAGCACGCATCGGGCTCTATCCTACGAGTGCACATAGTAACGCGTCCAACAGCTGCTGTCTCTCGCCCGTGTGCCGGCGCTGCTGCTGTGTGTATGCACTCTTGCTACATTATATATAGCATCGCGAGTACGCGCGGAAAAATGAACGAGAAAAATAACAGTTGTGCGCTGATTTTTCCGTACATTACGCGCTGCTGCTGCTGCTTCTGTTGTACGCGCATTTTTTCTGTAGACGCGTGTATATGCCTTGGACGCGGATATGAGCACCGCGAGCGAACACTGTACACATTGTGCTACGAGGCTCGTTATAAACGCACGCAATCCGTCGCAAATTACCATTTTAGCTCGAATCCTCCTCGTCTACTGGCGCGCTAATGAAAAATGTTTGTTTCTGTTCGTATATATACCTGATCATTTTAAAATTCCTTGCCTTTTTTTTACAGACCTATCACGGGTGCATATTATTACTATTAACGCGGTATACCTGCGCGCAGAGTGCGAATCCAGAATAACGAAAAAAACGAAAACAACAACAGGCTCGCGGCCCGCGCATTATAAATAATGGGGCGCATCGTACGTAATTGATGAAAATAATATATATTATAATGACATTATATTATATAGGCAAGGACGTAAAACTCTGTAAGTACTCGTGGCTAGGCGCGAGGCCTAGCCGTATTATATATTATAATACGCGCGTTTATACGACTTTATCTAAAGTGTCGTCGAGTTATGCGCACGGCCGATAACCGATAGCAATTACTTTTCGTTCATTACTTGGATACAATTTTTTCTTTTTTTTTCAAACAGACGACTCGTTTCGTTGTGCGACTTTTTTCCAATATATTTTATGACAGTGCGTGTCGTTGCCAGTATGACATTGTCGTCAAATAGCTCGAAATTATATTTATTATTCATAGGGACGTAACATAAGTGTTATTAATAATCGCGAGAGTGACAATTGCGAATCATGAAAAATCCAAGCGGGGCTAATGAACTGAACGGCCACGAGGAGGAGAAGGAGGAGGATGTCGAATCGAGCACGTTGATCGACGACTATCGGAAAATCGAATTGGTTCAGAAAAATGAAAAGTCCCCCGACGACGATGGCGAGCTCGTGGGAACCAAGATATACCGTCGACGCTGGGCCATACTCTTTCTGTTTACTCTGTTTACCGCGGGTAACAAGGCCCAGTGGGTTCAGTACACCGTCGTACTCAACGTAGTGAGCAAGTAAATTAATTTTTATTCCATCTATTCGACAGCGAGTATAATACGAGATGTATTTTCAACGATATAAAAAACTCGCGCAGATTTTTCCAAGTCTCGAGCCTGGCGATCAAGTCGACGACGATGGTGTACAGTCTGACCGCGCCCTTCCTCGTCTATCCGATCTCGTACGTGGAGCATCGCTGGGGCTTGCGCAGCGTCATGATACTGGCCTCGAGCGTCCAAGCCCTCGGCGCCTGGATCAAGTACTTCGGCACCAAACCGGGTGGCTACGGCTGGACCATACTCGGCCAGAGCCTCGTGGGCTTCTGGCAGATGCTGACCCTGTCGATGCCAGCGAGTCTGGCGGCTCACTGGTTCGGCCCGAGACAGATCAACATGGCCACGGCCATCGCCTACGGCGGTCTCGTGGTCGGCGTCTCGACCTTCTCGCTGCTCACACCCATGATCGTGAGGGTCAACGAGGATCAGCGCGTGGTCGAGGCGCAGATGAAGTCGCTGGGCCTGCCGCTGGCCGGCTACTGCACGCTGGTCATGATACTCATCCTCTTGTGTGAGTTTGGTTTTTTTTTTTGTTCAATTCCCTTCAGCCACGAGATAGTTCCGGGTAACACGATCGAGCGTGAATTCCAAGTTTTTCAGAACGAGCCTAAACTGCCACCGAGCAAGTCCAGAGCTCTGCAGTTGCGGCTCAAAGGCAAGCGCTTCGTCTTTTGGAAATCTTTCGCGCGACTGCTCAGGAATCGAAATTATGTACTGCTCTGGATATCTCACGGCATCAACGGCGGCCTCATCGTCACTTCTCACGCGTCCGTCAATGTTCTCGTTTTGGCGCACTTCAAGGTTCGACCGATGCACTGTATTACATAGACTCGAAATTAGAAAAAGAAGAAAAAACAATTCTTCGTTACGATCCTCTTTTTTTATAGAACGGAGAACGGGATGCCGGGAGACTTAGTTTGTTATTTTCGACATGCGGTTTTTTCTTGGCCATAATCATGGGTAAAGTTCTGGACAAAACGAAACAATTCAAGTATGCTTAAGAATTTACTACATTTATGCAAAAAATGAATCAGATTCGATCCTTCAATTTTGATTGAATTCTGCAGAGCCATGATGATTTTTTTGTACACGGGAAGTATCTTCTCGATCATCGCTGTTGGATTGTCGTTTCATTTCGAGATTAAGTGGGCGATGTATTTATCGTTCACCGTTATGGGGTAAGTTTGTATCGACTTTTTTTTTTAATCGAGGCGATCGCGCGCAAAACATTTTTAAAATTTGAAAACACATCCGTGTGTTCGATTATTCGCGCGCACGGCAGGATTTTCATGCACAGCTACCAGACGACGAGTTTCGACACCTGCGCGGAAATCACCTACCCCGAGCCGGAAATCTTCTGCGTGTCGATGCTCAATCTGATGAATCAGGTCTTTGCCGTTTTCACCATCACCTGCAGCGACAAGCTCATCGTTCGCTACGGCGACGCGGCGGCTTACTGCCTATTTCTCGGCCTCGCGCTCCTGGGATTCACGGCGACTCTGCTGACGGCTGACGAGCGTAGACGCCAGAACGCCAACGATCGCTCGAGGCCGTGACGAATCTATCCTCTCTTTTGATTCATAATCTCCTGAAATTTGTTTCTGTACGACATAATGAAAGCAAATGAATAACTTATTTTTGAAATCGAAAAGTAGCTGTATAAGAATAGCTGTAAGTTGTAAAACTTCTTTATGACTTTTGGCAAATAAAATTGAAATATAATGAAAATGAGAAAAAATTCAAATCTTAGGAAATTGATAACTTAAAAAATAAATTATTTATTTAATAACAATTTTATTATCATTGGGAAAAATGAGTTTGAAATTTCTTAAAATTAATTTTCTACAATTTATCATTGTAGACATTTCATATTTGTCAGTGAATTAAAATTTTTATGAAGCAGTACATACAAGAAACCATTTCAGTTCTAGAAGCTGATTTGGCTTCAAAAAACTATAGTTTTTACTAAAAAAAGACCCATATTATTTTTTTAGATCTCACAACGTCTCGAATCCAATTGTTAAATCATTTTCTATTTTATTATATTATCATACAATTTTTTTAACTTTAACTCGAAAAAGATGGTTTATAAAATAAAAAATTCAAATAACAAATAATATTAGAAATTTTCCTAAAAACACGTAAAAAATATTAAATTCGAATTCGATAAAGTACTCGAACCTTATTGTTGCGAATTCCATGAACTGTCGTTTTATGCCAAAGTAAACCCCTAAATTTTTTCTCGCCCCAAATGTCTCATAAGTAATCTTTGAAAACATCGTGAAATATTTGTTGTGCCTTATTAAATACGATTATTTTTCTAATTTCTTTTCGCACTTGTCGCTTGTCAAATTGTTATGACCTCTATGCATTGACCTTTGGTGCCTCAATAAATTCGATTTTTTTACAAATTTTTTTTCACAATCGGTGCATGCAAAATCTTTGCGACCTTCATGAATTGATTTTCGGTGTAAGAACAAATGCGATTTTTGTCCGAATTTTTTCTCGCACATATCGCATGCATAATCTTTGCGACCTTCGTGAAATGTCTTTTGGTGTTTGCGCAAATTTTGTTTAAATCCAAATTTCTTCTCGCATTTGTCGCATGCGTAATCTTTTCGACCTTCATGTACTGACTTTTGGTGCATGGTCAATTTTGTTTGATCCCTAAATTTACTCTCGCACTTGTCACATTCGAAATCATTGCAAAGTTCGTGTAGTGTCTTTTGGTGTCTGATCAAATTCGATATTCGTGTAAATTTTTTCTCGCACTTGTCGCATGCGTAATCTTTGCGACCTTCGTGTACAAAATTTCGGTGATTTTTCAAATTTCTTTCATCAACAAATTTTTTCTCGCACTTGTCGCACCCATAATCTTTGCGACCTTCGTGAACTGTCTTTTGGTGTATTAGCAAATGCGATATTCGTGCAAATTTTTTCTCGCAATTGTCGCATGCATAATCTTTGCGACCCTCGTGGACTGTACTTTGGTGTTGGAGTAAATGATGTTTATACCCAAATTTCTTCTCGCACTTGTTGCATGCGTAATCTTTACGACCTTCATGAACTGTCTTTTGATGCTGAATCATGATCCATTTTAGTCCAAATTTTTTCTCACACTTGTCACATGCATATTCTTTGCAGACTTCGTGGACCAACTTTTGATGTCTAATCAAACTACTTGGATCCCCGAATTTTTTCTCACACTTCTTGCATACGTAATCTTTAAGTCCTTCATGTACTGTTATTTTATGTTTTATTAAACTGCTTCGAGTCCCATATTTATTCTCGCATTTGTCACATGCAAAATTTTGGCGACCTTCATGAATTCTTTTTTGGTGCTGAATCATGATCCATTTTTGCCCAAATTTCTGCTTGCATTTGTCACATGCAAAATCTTTGCGATCTTCGTGGACTGTTTTTTGGTGTCTAAACAAATCACGGTTTCGTGCAAATTTTTTCTCGCAATTATCACATGCATAATCTTTGAGACCCTCGTGGACTGTACTTTGGTGTTGGAGTAAATGATGTTTATAACCAAATTTCTTCTCGCACTTGTCACATGCGAAATCTTTGCGACCTTCATGAATTGTGCTTTGATGTCTGAGCCAATCCGACTTGTGTCCAAATTTCTTCTGGCACTTGTCGCATATGTAGTCTTTACGACCTTCGTGGACTGTCCTTTGATGGATAAGCAAATATGCTTTTCTTTCAAATTTCTTCTCGCACTTGTCACATGTGAAATCTTTCCGGCCTTCGTGGACTGTCTTTTGGTGCTTTATCAAATCCGCTTTTCTTCCAAATTTTTCCCCGCAATTGTTATACAAGTTATCTTTTGTACTTTCATGTGCTGTCTTCAGGTGAAAGAGCCAATTTAATTTTTTTGTAAATATCTCCCCGCAGTTATTGCAAGCGAAATCTTTAAGCCCCTCATGAACTGTCTTGATATGTATAAGCAAACTCTGTTTATTCCCAAATCTTTTCGCGCACTTTTCACACAAGTAATCTTTAAAAATTTCGTGGAATATTTTTTGGTGCTTGAGTAATGCTGATTTATTTTCAAATTTTCTCTCGCACTTGTTACATGAGGAATTTTCGCGATCTTTGTGTACTAATTTTTGATGCGTAAATAAACTTGATTTTTTCACAAATTTCTTCTCGCATCTGTCGCATTCAAAATCTTTGCGGCTTTTGTGTTCTGATATTTGGTGTCTACTCAAATGACTTCGGAACTCAAATTTCTTCTCGCACTTGTCGCACGCGTAATCTTTTAGTTCATTGTGAATTGTGTCTCGGTGAGTTATCATGCTTGATTCTAGTGTGAATCCCTCCTGACAAGTATTATAAATATATTGTTTATCGTCTGAAACTAAAATGTTGTTTCCACTCAAATTTTTTGTTGAGACAACTTCTTCAATTTTTTCCTCACTTTTATCCATTTTATATTAAATTAAACGATGGAACGTTTTATTTAGCTCTAGTACTATGGCTTATTTCATCAAGAGAGACAAGTTTCACACTAATTTGTTTTGACTATAAACTTGATCCGTATTCAGCGGACGATCTCAAAATCGTTTATAATCATAATGTTTACAATTAAGTTTACTTATTCATCTGTTTGTACGCTGTCCTTGCAACATTTGAAGCAATTTAAATTTTCAACATTGCAACGATCTGCACATTTATATTAAAACATTTTAATATTTGTTCAAAAATATGCTCCCCCCTGCCATAAAGTAATTGCAGTAAACTAAAGGAATCGCAATTTCAAAGACACGCCATTTTCAAAACACGTTTCAGAGCATGGGGCCGAAATAATTTTAAGAGATTTATACAAGTGATAAATTATTTATTCAGTAAAATATGTATTATCATCTCACATGAAATTATATACAACTGCGCATATTGGCGATTCATCAGGAAAATGTGCATAAAAATTCTGAAACTGACCTATAGAATTAATAATTTTAGGAATTTTACATTTGTCAGTAAATTTGAAACTTTATGAAGCGAACTTTTGTTCTAAAACAACATTTTTTCCTAGCTTTTTTACTAAAATAAGACCCAATTTTTTTGTTTTATCCCATAATTCTTCGAAACCGATTTTTAAAATCATTTTCTATTGTATCATTTTAATTATATAAAAACCTTTGCAATTCGGAAAAAGTGCTGTAACAAAAATATTTAACACAATAACTTTCTTACCTATTTTCAAAAGTCCAAAATTCAAGTTTTTCTTAAAGATTTCAGTGTCTCTGTAGAAGGGTAATGGGTTGTTACAAAAGTTATGCAAAAAATTCCTATCTTTTTTTTCTGCTAATTCGTTTTTTCCGAACTAGGAATTCGTAATGAAATTTATAATGGAGAAGACAATGATTTTGGAAGTGAACTTCGAGGTCGACGGGGTCAAAAATAAGTACACAAGTCATTTTTAAAAAAGCTACACAGTATTTTTGAAGCCAATTTGAGTTCCAGAGCTCAAATGGTCTCCTAATAAAAATCAAATTATTAAAAATTTTCGTAAACAACTCGTTTAAAATAGGTCAAATTTATTCTTATTTTTTAAATTTTTTCACACGTTCTTAAAGTTTGCCTTCGCGAACAAATATAATTAGGTTAAATTAATTGCCTTCTCGAATTCGAAAGAGTACTTGAAACTTTTTGTTGCGAATTCCATGAACTGTCGTTTTATGCCAGAGCAAATCCCTAAGTTTTTTTCTCGGTGCCTTATTAAATATGATTATTTTTCTAATTTCTTTTCGCATTCATCACATGCGTAATCTTTCTGACCTTCATGGACTGTCTTTTGATGTAAGAACAAATGCAGTTTTCGTACAAACTTCTTCTCACACTTGTTGCATGCCAAATCTTTGCTACCTTCATGGATTGTTGTTTGGTGTTTTATCAAATTTGATTTCGTTCCAAATTTTTTCTCGCACTTATCACATGCATAATCTTTGCGACCCTCGTGGACTGTACTTTGGTGTTTGAGTAAATGATGTTTATACCCAAATTTCTTCTCGCACTTGTTGCACGTGTAATCTTTGCGACATTCATGGACTGATTTTTGGTGACTCAGCAAGTGCGATTTGTATCCAAATTTCTTCTCGCATTTGTTGCACGTGTAATCTTTGCGACCTTCATGAACCGTGTTTTGATGTCTTATCAAATCTGACTTTTGTCCAAATTTCTTTTCGCATTGGTCACATACGTAATTTTTCCGACCTTCGTGGACTGTCTTCAGGTGCTTTAACAAATCTGATTTTACTCCAAATTTTTTCTCGCACTTGTCACATGCGAAATCTTTGCGACTTTCGTGCATTGTGTTTTGATGTCTGAGCCAATCCGATTTGTATCCAAATTTCTTCTCGCACTTGTCGCATGTGTAGTTTTTACGATCTTCGTGGACTATCTTTCGGTGATTGATTAAATTACTTTGATCCCCGAATTTCTTTTCGCATTGGTCACATGCATAATCTTTGCGACCTTCATGGACTGCCCTTTGGTGCCTCAACATAATTGATTTACTTCCAAATTTCTTTTCGCACTTGTTACATACGTTATTTTTCCTACCTTCGTGTACTTTCTTTTGCGGCAAGAAGAAATCGGATTTCCATTCAAATTTTTTCTCGCACTTGTGTGC